CTTCCCTCAATATCAGTCATACCTCTTTCCTTCATCGATTCTGATCTTTCGATTACCATGGTTTTAACGTTTGTTATAGACTGGGTTGAACGTGTATAACGTTTAAGTACTTAGTGTAATGCGAAATGTCGTGTGTGTTAGGCATACTAATCTGTATCGTGATACATATATGTCGAAGCGTAATCATAGTGTTAACCTAGTTGAGGATAAATCGAGAGAACGAGCAAACGGTGAAGCGATTGCGGCGGCGAGAATGCCACAGAAACGTTCGATGTTCGATGTTCGACTTTATGTTGCGCAGGCTTGCAAAATATATTAATTCTAAATACTTATATAAGGGTGAATGAGGGGAGCGTAGGATGAAGTAACGAGAGAGAGAAGTATCATTTAGCGAGTAGAGCGAGCATGCGATAGTCTGATGCGGAAAGTGACGTGGGCCTTATATCATGGATTACCTCAATTGTAAGCAGCTTAAAGATGCAGTTTCGTGCACGTGACGATGTCAAAACTGATGATTTCAAACGAAAGAAGAAGGAACAAAAAAAAAGATACAGTAGAAAAAGAGGAGCAGGGGAAAGAGGAGGAAGAAGATGATGATGATGTACCGCGATTCGTACTAGATATTAATAAAGGAGCCATCTTAACTTTCGATAGTGGTTTGCTGTTGCACGACGTTTCTTCCGAGATGTAAATATGCATATTTTGCCATGTCGAGTCCGGAAATCTTTGCACTCGGCGAGCTGTTCTTCATCTTCCAATTTAGCGATCCCTTCGCGAAAGGAGCAGATCGGATATGTCAAGTACGTAGAATCAACGCGAAACGGTGCGAGGTGGATTTCTTTTCTTCAGCAAAGAAATGAAAAGCGGTCTTGACACGCCGCGGTTTCTCGATTTTCCACGTTGCACGTTCTCCAAAGCAAATCTCCATGCATAATTTCACCTTGACGTTAAATTATCGAAGCGAAATTAACCGAGAGATGCGATTTTGTTGTTCGTTCGTTTCGTGAAAATTCAGTCCGTCAAATTGGAGACATCCAGTTAAACATTTGAGTTGTCCGAATGACTCGCCGAGTGCCAAGCGTCGAACGCCGCTTAATGGCAGCTCTCGAAAGATTCTTGAAAGATTGTAACACGCCTAAGCGAAATAGTTGTGTCAACCTACAGTGATTCCGGAAGAAAGTGCTCGTTCACATTGATTATACTTTGACGAGCTCGGAGCTCGTTTCTTTTGCATTTCGTTCGAGTTGACTTCCGAATCCTTTCATAGATTCAATTGAAAGTTGAGTTGAAACGTTGATACTGTGCAATCCCCTGTGTCGAACGAGTCGCTCGTCACATTTTGTGTTAATAATCGTAAGCGCAGAGGTGACGGCGCATTCATGTTACTTTGAACGAAAGAACAAAGACAGACACGTGTGGATCAGCACTAACTATTTGTGGCTCCTTTTATTTCTCGTTACACGGTGCATTCTGCGACAGTGAACCAGCAACATATCCCTGCATACATGTACATATTATATATCATAAGTGTTAAGTCGAGATGCACACAGTTATGTAGACACGCCAGCGTGCGTCGAGAAATGGTGCAGCAATCGATTTTCCGGATCAGCAAAAATACGTTGTGAAGCGCGCTAAGCAGCGGAGTCGACACGAAGAGACTCGATATATTGTATTTTAATAGCTTACATGATCCGTCTGTGTTGCTTCAAAAGCGCGCGATGCGAACGAGTCAACGCTGTTTAACGATGCGAAGCAGAGAGAGAGAGAGAGAGAGAGAGAGAGAGAGAGAGAGAGAGAGTGAGAGAAAGTGTGTGTGAGAGAGAGAGAGAAAGAGAGAGAGAGAGAGAGAGAGAGAGAGAGAGAGCAAGAAGAAAAAGAACAGATATAAAGATTCTATTCTTGAAATCCGAGTCGCGTTTTGTGTACATCCTCCTGAGACCTGATCGCTACGCTTTTTAGTGATATGCATGTCGCAGCCGAGTTTAGCGGCCCGAGTAGTAGCGATTGATTTAGCGCGATTACAAGTTAGACATAATTGATTTGTTTTATCGTAGCGAATAGTCGTTATTCCTTTCTTACAACGATTACACGCACGCACGCACACACACACACACACATATATACACACGAGATGCATGTGCCAGTTTAAGATGCATTACGCACAATAGTGACACTATATGATAATATGAATAGACATATTTGAACAACAAGTGTAAAACGAGTTGTTTATAAATTATTGTATATTTTGTACGTTTTTAAAAATATACTTCGTTGCTCGTGTCTTCTTACTCGTGAAAATTCGGTGAGGCCGACATTTTTACGATCATGTCAATACCTTACGATGTATACTTTACGATCATGTCAATCGCAAAGTTGGTTTCTTAAATCTTACCATAAATAAATTATAAGAAAGGCTGTATGATGTGCAATCGAATAATTTATTAAGAATGGGTTTATAAAAGTCGAACGTTAGTTGCATATTTATGCAATAATTGACCTTAATAAGATAAGTGTCACGATTAGACACGATAAAATTATAGTATAATTACAATATAATGAATAATATAACTTTATAATGGCTAATTTATTGTCTTAGTAAGATTAATTATTACATGAGTGTATAACAGACGCACTTGTAATTTGCGCTCGGCTCTTGTGGACCTATCGTTAGTAGCTTACCGTAAACTTTCCTCTTCGCTATTCGCCGCCATCGTCGAAAAGAATAAGGAAATGATTGTTTCGTGACGTGAGTTATGAAACGTTTCGCGAACGTTTTGGGACGAGCGAGTATCTTCCGATTATTACACAATTACATGCATCACGTGTGTATGAAAATAAGTTGCTCCGTGTGCAAGGTCATAAACAAAATGTCCTGTGTTGCCCAAAATACGCAGAGTCTCGGGAGGATCTGTTAGGCTCGCGTGCAGAATTCGCGCGATCGTCGAATTTTTCGCCTGACGGCTGTTGGACACGTAAATCACTTTAGCTACTTTTTTATTGAGCGCGCGTTAATCGAACATTTAGCGTTGCATGTATGCATATTATTGTACGCTGCTTTTCGCGAGGCTGGCTCCTTATGGATGTTGTTTTTGTGAACGCATTGAAGGCCATTACGAGAGATTCTTTGTTATGTTGCGTTTCTCATTGAATTTTATCATATCGGAGAGGAATAAAAAGTTGCCTCACAGACGGAGGGTGAAAATTACGTTCGTAAAGTACTTACAAATTCGAATCATCATCTGGTCGTATAGAAACCCTATAGGAAACCTGCTCTACGAAAGAAAAAAGAGAAGAAGAAGGAAAACAATACGACAAAACGATCTTACTCTACGCTTTCAACGATCTGACTCTAAAAATCGATTGCAGATACATTCCTTACGTGTTTTTATTGTGCAATTATTTATTATAATAATCCGATTGTCAGGTATATCTCTCTCTCAGATGGAAAATAGATGTCTAAAAGCGAATGAAAGTTCACGACGAGAGTGATTATTTTTCTTGACGATCTGTTTCTATACACGTACGAACAATTATATTTTTGATTAAAGTAAGATTCTAGGGAGAAAAAGCAGATATAGAAAGACGATTGAATCAACGCAACGGTATTTATATTCGACAGATAATTTTATTACACGATCACAATATTTTTGCATCTGATTTATATATACAGACTGTATAGTAGAGCGAGGAAAGGAGGCAATGTGATATACAGGGTGTCCCAAAACTGGTGGATTTTTTGTTAAGGGGTGAAAGGGGGTGTAATTTGGAACCGAAAGTTTCTCTACCACTTTTGGATCAGATCATTTTATGAGTTATTAACTAATGAATCTGACCAGTTAAATTATTCGGCAGGCGCGCATACAGTGGAGTAGGATTCAAGTTTTAACCTTAATCTATCAAACTGAAAATTTTCAAATTTAGAGAGGGGGAAAGAGAAAAGGGAAGAGATAGGCCTGGAGGGGGCGGGGGCGGCAGGAAGAGGAGGGGAGAAAGAGAGGTGGCGACGTAAGTGTAAGATCTATTGAAACACAGAAAGCAAAAAACTGTTTTCCACTTAATTATAATTAATAAGTTTTACACTTATGCCGTCCCCTCTCCTTCTTCTCCTCCTGCCTCCTCCTCGCCTTCCTCCGCGCCTATCTCTTCCCCTTTCTCTTTCCTCTCCTCTGAATTTGAAAATTTTCAGTTTGATAGACTAATATTAAGACTTGAATCCTCCTCCACTGTGTGCCGGCCCGCCAAATAATCTGATTGGTCAGATTCATTAGTTAATAAATCATAAACTAATGTTCTGATCTTCTCCAGGAGTGATAAAGGAACTTTCGGTTCCGAATTGCACCCCCTTTCACCCTCTAAGAGGAAATCCGACAGTTCTGGGACACTCTATATATCGTTACTTCGAAATACCCAGCGGCATTACAACATGCGATACTTACATACCTCTCCCAGATAGACGATAGTAGCCCCGGAACAAAGAAAAAAGCGAAACGTAGTTCGACGCGACGGTGTGGATCGAGAAGACGTTATTTTTGCTGCATAAGTGAATTGTTCGCGATGACGATGTGACGATAAAAGGAAAGAAATTAGAAAAAAAGAGAGAAAGAAGAGAGAATTTCACGACCGTATCTCATAAATATATAAACGAAGACTTACGGTGTGTATACATTACATTACCATTTTGATAAACGGTATTGTATCATGTACCATTTAATTATATGTTTGGCCGCGATTGCCCGAATACAGAGTTAAGTCGATTGAGTGACCAGTGACCCAAAAACATGTTAATTCACTGAGGGGTTAATAATAAACGCGATTATGATTACGCAACGATGTTTTCGCGGTGTTTCTTGCGTTTCAGAAGCAAGCAAGCTGTCAATGAAAAATACATTTTGTGATGCAACTATCGGTAGTGATACCGTTTCTTCGTTCACTATTCGATTAACAATTTAGTTTCACCAGAGAGCTAGTTGACAGTCAACCGTAGAGTGATCCCGCGTCGACAGCATCGTGGTAAGACGACGAATTTAGGCTAAGTCTCTTGCTTTTTGATTTAATTTCTCAGGATGACATGTTGATCACGTTAGTGCGGCCGAGAAGTTCGACGACGGTGCTGACCAGCTTGAAGGAGATGTTTTTGATCAAAAGCCGAGTCTTCACGCCGGCGTTTTGTAGCGCCAAGTTGTACAAATCGGCGTAAAACTGTCACAAAAACATTTTTTTAATCTCTCTCTCTCTCTCTCTCTCTCTCTCTCTCTCTCTCTCTCTCTCTCTCTTTCTTTTTCTTTTTCTTTCAGTTAGTTTTTGGTATTTGGATAGTATTGTTTAAAAGACACGAATTTTTTTTCGCACTTTCCTCTAATTAAGTTATGGTACATCATTTTATTCCAATATAAATAATTCTAATATATATATATTTTTTTTTTAATTTTTTAATTTTTTAATTTAAACGTATCAACAGCTCGCATTATTTCAGATGACAAGGTAAGTATGATTAAATTAAACGTTCTAGTCGATTGGTAACTTTTACATTAGAGATTTGCAAAAGTTCGGATCGTCGGGTATTACACTGGTTGTGAGGAAAAGATGAGTCATTTTACAAATATAGAATGGAACAATTATCTCTGGAAGGTGATAAAAAATATTGCATAAAACAATGGCAGAGGTTTCGATATCACATGTGATGTTACGTATTTTGATACTTTAGCTGTGTGAAAATGACGTATTCAGACATACGCCCATCTAATATTTCTATAAATATTACGAGACATGATATTTAATAAATATAATAGCGCAACCGATGACTCATTTGGCATAGGTGACAAATCGTGAAAAATTATCCGCTACTGAAAATGTTAAAAAAAAATTTTAAAAAAAATCCGACGAACTGTTGCAGAACTTCGAATATTTCTCGGCATCAGACAGATGAGATTTACCTTCGAATTTTCACCATCCACGGGCACGTCGGAGAACTCGGAGCTCACTTCAGTGCAAGCTACTACCATTGTTCGCGAGGGGGTCACCAAGAGGGTCGCGTTCGTTTGCTGCAAGAAAGCGAGACGTGTGAGGTATCATAAGAGATACTTCTCACGACGGAATTTTGAAAAAAAAAGAAAAGAAAAGAAAACACATTTATTTGTCGACCGTGAATATTATCCCCGCTGCGAATACAGCAGTACCTCTTTCGCGAGGCATCCGTGGAGCTCCTTGAATTGCACGACGATCTCGCGGCAATTGCGATTGGCGCTCCATCGCGACCAGGAGAACGTGTACGCTGTGCAGAGCAGCGCCATGCATTCCCGCAGGTGCTTCTCCGTCACCGGATGTTTCACCGGAAGAGACTTCACGTAGCTGAAGGCGTCCCGCTCCGGAAATAGATCGCACCCGGCGTCGCGCATCTTCTACGACAGGCAAAACACGTGTCGACTTAGTTAAGCTCGATTGTTACTTTTTCTCTCCTCGGCTCTGTCTCTGAGTCCTGGAAGCGACGACCGCGTTATGTGCGTATGAAATTTAATTCCCACGAACGCAAAAATTCGGGAAGAAAATTTGTCTTCTCGAGAGAGGGTAAAGCTATCTTTATACGTCGCACTTTTCGCGTTATCGCGAGCACTTGCGAAATGTTGAAAGTTTTTACCTCAACCAGGAAGTACAGTTTCATATATTCCCCGAGAATTTCCTTTATTGCCGTCGACATACCACCAGCCAGTGAATTTAAGCACACTAAGTCCTCCTACGAGAACAAGCAACATGATCAAGTTCGCGTCTACGGAAGCTCGTATTTTTCCTTATGTCTTAAGAAGGAAAAGAGGAAACAAGACGACAATACATATGTGTATTTAGAAATACAAGTACTCTCGCGTGGAAAGACGTTGAATAGTTGTGCAGCGTGCAACTTGTATATCGAGTGATCTAATAGTTCGCATCCTTCACGTTTGCATAAAACTCATGTTTTCTGTGTAGAATAAAAGTAATATTGTTCGATATATTCGAAGCTTCAAAACTTCTATATAATTCGACGTCTGAGATTGAGGCTCGAAGTTTCGGATAATTCAACTTCGAAGCTCCTAACAGAACTAACTCTGGGGTTGCGATAAAATTCTGTGCAATTAGTACCGGTCGAATATCTACATTTCGAAATCTTGTTATTCGAGTATAACGCCTAGAAGTTCGAAGCTTCAAATCAATGAAATTTATAGCCCTAATATGGCGTACTCGAGCAATCGATCGTAGGCTGATATTGGAATCAAAATGATCGAATACCCGGACTATGAATTCCGCTTGGACGATTGCGGCAGACACATTGAGCACAACGCCGCCGCGCGCGTTTCTGCCCATTTCGGGCTTAAGTTCCCAGGTTTGGAAGGGAATGTTGATGAACTTGAAAGCAGCGAGCCCGTGAACACCTAGCCTGCCGGTTCTGAAAGTGATGGTCTGCTTTTCCTCGTTGTACTTGATGTCGTGCACGTCCTGCGTGGACCACATATTTTTTTCGGGAATCCAATGTGCCACCAACGGTGGCTCGAACCAGATGATCGAACTGGGAAGTCTGTGAAGGTTGCATTGAATGCGATAAGGATGACTTCCAAATTTTGCTTAAAAATCGGATCGGACACTTTTGGTTTAACTCAATGTATGAATTGTTTAAAAATACGCTCTATTCTTTTTGGGATATACTTCAAAGTTATTAGCGCCAGAGCCTCCATCGCGGTTTCCAGAGCTTTCATTTCCGCCTCGATCACTTCCGGGGTCCTTTCAGAATCAGGTGCTGGAGGCGGCGCCTTGTACGGCTTCGAGAATGGCACAAATTTTAGTTCTTTGGGGATTTGCACTGCAAAAAGATGATTCAGTACACTTGACGAGGAAGCGTGCAACAGATCTTTGTGCGATTAATTGAAAACGATTATTTGTGGGTAGACACTTACAGGTGGTAAGCAAAACGTCTCTCCCCATGTCTTTGGGCTGCGGAGGCTGATAAATTAAATCGATATGTATTACTCCGCCGAGTATCTTGTATTTTCGCAGATTGATCTCCGTCTTCTCGCATCGCATGAACAGCAGCTTTCTAATCTCTTTTTTGGTTTCCTCTAGGATATAATGATTGTGATTAATGTGTTATAATAATAATAATAATATAGTTTATGACGTATTTTCTTTTTTTCTTATCTTTGGCTTATCTTAATAGCACAAATTTATAACTTTGAGAGATACGCCGATCGCGCTTGTCAGAAAACGCACCATCTCTCTGTAGAATGATCTCGTCAGGTACAGGCAGATACGGTAAACGTTCCGGTTCCTGTATCGGTTCTGGTTTCGTCTGCACACCAAGCTTCTTTTGTTGCTTCCCTTTTCTATCGGATTTTGTAGGTTCCGGTTCCGGCGGATGTTCCATTTTCTCGAGTATAGCTTTTTTCTCCTCCAAGCGCAGGCGACGTCCTTCAGCCTGTTCCTCACGTATCTTCAACTTCGAGTCATATTCGCTCTGACAATAGGCGAGAAAGTCTGAAAAATGTACAGGAAAAAGATCCATATCGCATCTCTCTGCGAGATTACAGAGCGAAATTAGAATCTTTTTCTGGGGATGTTTTTGCAAGGCCTACTTGCTGTCCTTACTTTTAGAAGTTTCCATCGATAAATGTTTAATTTTTTTACAAAGTTTTGCATGTTATTATACAAAATCGGTGTTTGAGACACAGAAACTAATTCAAAAAGTGACTCTTTCAAAAACAATGAGTTCGCAGTTCTCGAAGAAAGAATCTCAGCTCGTATAACTGAATGAGGATCACAGGAGAATTCGCTGACAAGAAATGGTACCTCTATTAGCTACAAACAGATTGTCGGCTGATTAAGAACCTCCTACAAAGATCTTTCTATAATCTAATTTTCCAATCGATCTTTATTCTTTCCAGTCAACGGAAAATCTAGTCACATTAACAGAATTGTTTTTTCTATGCAATGTCTAAAGAGACAATGACTAAGCTTGTACTTGATTCAGTTTCTGGATGTTTTAAGTTGTTCCTACTCCTGAAAAAAGAAGTAAACTAGAATGTTCGCAAAACGTTGGAAAAAAATTCACAATAGACGCAGTACCAATCTGGAAACTTGGAAAAGTATTTTTTTGCACTGTGGAAGTCTAAAACATCAAATCTCACTCATAATATGGCCACTTTCATATTCGCGCGGCAACTCCGGCATGACGTAGGAAGTCGCGCGATCCGAATAATGATCATACTTCACCCACAATGCTCGTATTGCCATGCAATAACAATCGATGTCTGTGGGCATTTTAACGGTCAGTTCCATTTCCTCGAAGTGAACCTCGATCGGTATTCTGCCGAGACAACGACAATATTGGCGTTATAAATCGGTATTGTGACGAACCGAGAGATGTATCCACGGTGTACGCCGCGATATTTCTTCGTTACGCATATGTGTGCATGTTTCGTTGAAACGATACGTGCCGATCTTTGTCAGAGGGCTGCTTCAGTTTAATCGGCCATTTTATCAGAGCCCAGATGCAACAACTGACATGTCTCGAGACGTTGCTGTACCTCGTCGTTTTTATGTCTTCACGTACCATGTCCCGTTCTATTTGCCGCAGCAGAGCGTAGCACGCCATGTCTATCCATTTTTGAAGCTTGTCTCGGAATCGTTGGCGGATCTGTTAAACATGACCGTTTCATGAACCTCGAGAATAACATCGATCCCTTTACACTTTTGAGAGAATCATGCTCAACTGTTTAATCGCACGCGATTACTCACCGTTTTGCACTCGAACAGGTAGTCAGGCGGTCTCATCAAAGAAAATCGCACTATCTCGTCGAGTTTTGTTATTAGCTGTGAAGAGAAATCCGATGATAAGAGTTATCCTCATACCACTGACGAGAAGAGTATTTTTCTATTGTATTCCTCTACGCACTAGTGACAGTAATTATTAAAATCGGATATGTATAATCGTTTATTAAGCACACTTTCACAACAATGCTCATGAGAAACGTTAATATCAGCGAGATCAGCACAATTATATAAAGATTTACGCACGTAGATAATAGTGTCGTATTTCTTAGTGAAGTTGCTCATATTAACTTCCTTGTCTTCCATAGACCACAAAAACAAGAAGGTGTTCATGTCCGATAAGCTGCCGGGATTCGGCAATCCATCGCATGTCATGTATCTAGACCACTGAAAATAAATAGCCCGCTACATATATTCCATTCGTCGAATCTCAACATTGTACGTTACACACGGAGGAGCTTGTTTAGTTTACGAGTAGATGTGATAGTTTGCGAAGTTAAAGTCCCACATAAACGCGTTCCTCGAAAGTAAATTCTCGAGAGAAGGAGAGCCAACGGCGATATGTTTTTACATTTTTCTCTTTTTCGGCGTCAGCTACGTACTCCATGAAGGCGCTTTCATGATCCTGAAGCGCGTGCCAAGTCTTCTCCAATTGAACCTTTCGCATTGCAGTCTCTTTTTCATCGAGCAGCACTTGCCTCTCTGCATTATACTTCTCCTGTCGAATCTCCTCGTGCATGTCTTTGATTATTCGCGCCCTTCGAACGAATGTTTAATTAATATGCTGATAAGTGACGTGAGACTTTGAGTTAACACATGCGATTGTAAATGCTTTCGCCAACATCAATTCCTTACGTCATCTACTTGCGTGCTTTAGTGTTTTATTGTATTGTACAATATAATCTCAACACAACTAATATTCTCAGTTTTTTATCTTTTATCGTCATATCTTTTATTTTACCTGATCTCTTCAGCTTCGGCAGCTGCGGCCGCGGATGCCGCTTGCTCCCTCTCCACAGCTTTACGCGATTTCTTCGTCATATTTCTGACTTCCGGAGACTTTGTCTAAATCGAACGAAGTGTAATCGAACGAGGTAGTGATCTTTCACTTTAATGAAATCGTCATGTGAGAAGTATGCTACGACTTGTACCTGCAAAGTATCGAAAATATTCGAAGATAATCGAAGGAGCTTATAGTCGCGACGCGCTATGTCAATATAATAAACATTAGAACAGAACAATATCATCTTTCTTGTGTATTCTCTCGATGGCTTTCTTTTGCAGCGACAAAGTATAATAATAGGACGCAATAATATTTTTAACGTTGAACATTGAAAATATGTCCTAATGTGTGATATTAAGTTATTGAAATAGATTATTAAACTAATAGATTTCGAAGAATAGCGCTAACATATACACTTGTTTTCAATGTATATAATCTGATATATAATATGTATATAATCACTTTTTTTTCGATGTAATTATAGACAACAAGAGAATTTATAACTTCGATAATTTAAAAATAAATTTTCTTATTGGACATCGGCTGTGTTCGAACTACATCAAACAAAAAATCTCGAAGCTTTGAAACCACGTTCATGATATGTAATAACGTAAAGCTAGAAGAGACGTTTGCATAGTAGCGTTGAAAAATATATAACGATGCAAAAATAAAATTACCTGCATCGCAATCCATTCGTGCATCTGAAACAAACCAATACATTACGGTGAGAATGAAATTCTTATTTCACTTATAAAAGATATAATAGTAATAATATCAATATACATAATTGTCGTAACCAAACCTATTGTAATTACTAGACATAATTATATATATATAATTATATATATATATATATATATATATATATATATATATATAATGAACAAGTATAAGAAAGACTTATTAATAAAAGACGTACTAATAACAAGATACGTGACGGCTTTGTTGCTTCCGAAATTCGTAAGTCTTTATCTTCCTCGTATTCATCGTATTCAGTTTCAGGTACAAAAGGAGAGAATGGAGGTCCATCTTCGAAAAACGCCACTTTTGTTGTTCCTTTGATTGCCTCTTCTTTTTCGGCTTCTGTTTCAATTTCTGCCTTAATAGTTACATCTTTCACCACTTCAACATTATTCCAAGCAGAATCTCTAAAAATGAAAAAATTTTGATGTCAGAAGGAGATAGAAAGTATTAAGATAACTTAAACAGGTTAACGGAAGCAGTTAGATCTCTTAAACAAGATGTAATTAAATTTATTGAATTAATAAATTTATTATTTTTAATGGCTGTTATCTAGTGATTATTATCTTTAATAATGACAGTTATTATACGTTTTCATCTTGTATTTCACATCGCGGGTGTCGTTGTTGGAACTTTTGACTTTTTCCGTGGCTTGCATTACATTCACCGTGTGTAGGAATAATGTCTTTTATTTGCGTTTAATTATTAAAAATAACCAATAAAAAAGTTCTAATGAATATCTTGTTGCTGTAAGTGATTTGCTCTTATCAGTAAATAATACAAAATATTTCTGTCAGTTTCAACTGCACTGTTGATGGCTAATTAATTCTATAAGCGAGGTTAAGTAGAAACATGTCAGATCTCGAGTAATCATGAATGTCACAACACTTAAGAATCGATAATCATTAATAAGAAATATAAAAAAAATACGTATGTATACATATATCGATGTGCCGAAGTTTGTGTGAATTATAAGAAATTTTGTATAGGTACAAAACCTTTTGTATAGGTATACATTTTGTATAGATGTAACATGTATGTACATCTGTATGTGTAACATGTGTACAATTTGTATAGATGTAAAACCTTTTGTATAGGTTTTGTATAGGCATTTGTATATGCAAAACATTTCCTGTTTCTAAAATCACTACATTAGGAACTAAATTTTAATAATATAAGAATGACATTTCTTGGACATTCACATTTTACCATCCTCGAAGTCGCGTTGCGGCTAGCTTCGTGTCGTTTGCGGCTGTCATCGCGTGGAATGATAGCTCAATGACAGTTTTTGTATCAGGGGATTTCTTTTAAAAAAGGTGCGTGAGACTTCGATCTCGAATATATTGAAGCGGGTGAAGAGAGATAAGGAAAGAGGAGAGAGGGGCAAGGGAGAGAGGGAGAGGAAGAGAGATAAGGAAAGAGGAGAGAGGGGCAAGGGAGGGAGGAGTGAGGAGGAGGGAGGGAGGAGTCAGCTTCTATATTCTGGACCGTCTTGAATTCATCTTCAAATGTTTTTTAGCCAATAGAACGATGCATATAGCATCTGAAGATGAACTTAAGATGGTTTGAAATAGAAATGTTAAACGTCGAAATTCATTGGTTATACATTACGCGTTACGCGTTAGTATGTATAAAGTATATTATGGAATTTCAAACGCCTAAATCATTGTATATTGGAGTCGGATATTATTAAACTTATATTACACTACAAATATTATTCTTATGATTTATAATATTTATTCTAAACTTTAATATGAATAAGCTAAAATGGCGCGCGCTTGTAGTGTTCTAGTAAGTACATAAAAGTGCATAAAAGAAGATTCGAAGTTTTAAATTTTAACTACAAACGCCGGAGCTTCGAATGTATCGAATAATGCCTATAATATTTATCATTAGTGACTAACATATTAAATTTATATACATATACATAATTTATATACATATTAAAATTAACGAACGTAGAATTTCATGATATTGAAACAATCAAAAGGTTACATTTTGAAATATATATCACATCGTGTTGTATTAAGTTGTGGTTGCAAAAGTTATCTTTTTTTATACAGTGTAATATAATTTTGTATATAATCTTGCGACTCGTTAAATTACGATATCTGGGTTTAGATATCTCGTTAAATTGCGATATCTGATTTCTAAAATTGGTTTAAACAACCAATCGTTACATCAAAATAACTAACTACGAAGTTAATATGTAAGTCAGTTCGTATTGCCTTGTGGATTATGCGATTGCCAGTCATGCCAGTCATGCTTACATTGCATATAACAGCGACAGTGAGAACTGAAACAATAGTCACGATCATTTTAATAGCATGTAAATCGATTACGAATATTTAAACTTCAACTCCGAACGTCTAATTATTAAATTCACCTACGTGTGATTATTAATGAATGTATGTCTAGTGTTGAGCGAGGTTATTCCGATTAATATTAATATAATAATTAATATTACAGCACGAATTTTTTCGGTTAAAACAACGGAAATTGTTACTATTATTGGTACAATTTTTTTCCTTTAAGAGGATGTTTAGGCATAAAAGATGAAAGTAGAAAAAGCAGGTAGATGCAAAGTTCTGCTACATGTCTCTCTCTCTCTCTCTCTCTCTCTTTCTCAGTTCGACTTGTACTCTGATTAACAAATGCATTATTAACAAGATTCTACACTATACGGAAGCGCAGTTGAAGGCGACCAAGTCGACAGCAGTCTAAGGCTATCGACAATGAAGTGTATAATATTACTCGAAGCATTATGTGTATTGTCGCAAGCATTATCAAAGTATACTCGCGACTATTTGCAGGATACATAGAAGCAGGATACATGAAACACATGCATCTTCAAAGCTAGCAGCGATAGCAGCAGGTAATAAACAATTATTCCGAATTATTATTACACTTTTCCGCAGCTCTCGATAGATGATCATATTGTCGTGAGTCGATTTGCTCAGCAATATAGTGCACATTGTATCGACACATTCGGTTGTATGAGTGCCGTTTAATTCCTCGAAAAGCGGGGATTTCTTCGCAATGCGCAGACGTGTCGTTTTTTATTAGCGTTTAATTATTAAAATTCATTTATAAAAGATGTATTTATCATTTTTTTGTAAATTAAGCCCATGGTTATTAAATCAGATGCATAATATGCTGCATTATAAGCAGGCTGAGAAATCGCTGCATATTAATAAATAATAATGCAAAATTATGTAGTTTTCAACCGTCAACAATAATCGTGTCAATAGTTTGTGTCAACTATCACGCAAGCATTTAAGAATTGATAATTAACAATAAGCAACGTGAAATAGATATATGAGTGTGTGAGTGCATAGGATATCCTAAAATCCGTGTGATACCAAGTAAGGAACGCACCTTGTATTAGTATTCTACGAAATAATTTGGTTATCCATATTTAGCGAAATCAAAAAATACTTTTTATTTAACGTTTCTATTACTCTTCCTCTCCTACCCTCCCTCCTGAGAGATGATGTATGCATGTAAAAAGAGTTAATGTCGCAAAATTGTTATTAAAATAGGCTATATATATATATATAAACCGATGCTTTCACGATATCCGATGAATTGAACGAATCAATACAATTGTATTTATCTCGCAGGATAAATAAGATTGCATTAAAGTTAAATAAAATATGTATATGCTTTTTATATGAGCATAATATATTAATATATTAATAAATTAATATATTTCATTAAAATTTTAAACTGTATATACATAGACACACAAATACATGTGCACACAAATTACATGCTAAATATTTCTATCATATTTCTGTATTTTTTATAATGTTTATGATGACGTTGAGTAATATATTTTTTGTAAAACTGCAACTCTACAGAGATCAAACTGTTGTAAAAGTAATGTCATAACAATTCTTGCAATATTTGCATTGAAAAGAATAAATATATAATAACATCGCGAACGGTCTGGAATTAGTCTCAGGAGGAAATTATTATTATAAGGTGAGTGAGAGTAACAATGTAAATTTATGCGAAATGAGCGAAAATTAAAAGTGACCCGCAAATTAACCGATGACCCGCAAGTTGAAACACTGTTTACAAATTTATAAGCTATGTAGGTGTGCGCAAATAAGGTTACAAATAAGAAGTGTTATTATGATCTTGTGATCTATTGGCTCTCGAACTTCGTGCCTGGTCAGTGGCAGTCGTGCTGTGTCTGTGATTTCGCATACGTTTATACGCGTATGATTATCAAGTGATAAAATTTACGTGCTTTTCGCAATCAACGTTAATAAATGATCTCTAATCATCTTTTACAGTTATCGACGTAATTCTAGAAGGTAACAACTCAATGGATCCGGCTTTCTCGATACCGTCGTTTTACAAAGGAAGGAGTGTTTTTGTTACTGGTGCCTCGGGATTCTTGGGGAAAGCGTTAATAGAAAAACTGCTGCGATCATGCCCCGGTATAAGAGAGATATTTCTATTAATGCGCCCAAAGAATCACGCAAGCATAGACGAGAGACTTCGGCAGCTGCTGACGAACTCGGTAATTACCGTAGATATTACTGTAGATAGATTAGATTCGGATTATGTGATCGGCGATCTCTGCCGCGAAATGCCATTTTAATCACGTACACATTCTTTGCTTCAGTTGTTTGACACACTGCGGCACAAGCAACCCCGTTGTTTCGACAAATTGATTCCCGTGGAAGGTGACATTGGCATTGAGGGTTTGGGTTTGTCAGTCGCCGATAGAGACATCCTAATCGAGAAGACATCTGTAATATTTCATGTAGCGGCGAACGTGAGATTCGACGATGCTTTGAGAGACGCTGTGCTCATAAACGTGAGATCCACGAGGGATATTTGCGTTCTAAGTAGCATGATGAAAAATCTGGTGGTAAGTAGTCCGGAATATTTAACACTGCGCTAGTATGTGTACACGTGTATGAGAAATGAAAAAAAAAAAAAGAGAGAGAAAATTGTAATTTCGAGTCTTTTTATCGGAAATTCCTCGCGACGATTTCGACTAGAGAAGAGTATCAGCTGTCAAATTAATAGATATATTATTAATAGATAGATTATGTTGTATTTAACTTTGTCCCTTCAAGGTTCTGGTGCATGTCAGCACGGTTTATTCCCAAGTCGACAAATTGGTTATCGATGAAACTGTGTATCCGACGAAAGTCGATTGGAGAAAAATGATTCAGGTCGTCGAGTCTTTGGATGAAGACATATTGAAGGTGTTTCAGTCAAAGTTAGCATCGAATCTTATCCACGTTATATGCACGTTATGTATCAGATCGAGTCCGTACCTGTTAAAATAATTTATTATGATATGCTCCATCGTTGAAAGAACGGTTTTATAAATATCGCGTGATTTTCACATCGATGCACAAATTAACTTATCGAAGATGAGACTTTTCGTTTCAGCGATCGCCTGTAATTCATTTAAAATATATTTCCGAGGACATATCGACGACACTTCCATGTGGAATTATTTGCAGGTATACAGGCACACTGCCGAATACCTACGCTTTTACCAAAAGACTCGCGGAACAGGTGATAGCCGATTACTCTGGATCGTTGCCGTGTATAATTTGCAGACCATCCATAGGTACATTATTATGAACAAAGATACTGTAATTATACAATATCGTTACAATTACGGCACGAAGAAAAAAAATCTCTATTAACATGGCAGCGAACGAATCAAATAGATTTTTCTTCAAGAAAACAAAATGATCTGTAAATCAAATTCGGCTCTAAGGACCAAAAATTTTGTTTCCTTTAATTAAAACGCGTCCCGGTTAGTCTTTTTTCTTCGTGTGCGGCATGTGTTATCATCATTCTCTAGGCGTTCTCTTTTATCTAAATCTTTAACTCCCACAAAATATAGGTTACTTTTGGTTCTTCATAACGATCGTTTTCCAATGAGAAACAGCAGTTAGGCACGTTACATTCTTATGTATTACAGCAACGGTGTTCGTTTAGAATAAAAGCAAATTTTTTTTAGAAAAGTGAATCATTTTAGAACAAAAGTAAATTAGAAAATTATCAGGTTCCAGTACATACACACGCAGCTCTTAGGACTTCTTCTTAAACGGCATGTTCTCATGAGACATCGGTATTTTTGAAAATTGACTCGTTTTAGCACTCTTAGTCTTCAGTTGTATTAACACATGTTTGTTGTTAAAAATGCTTCTTAAAAAAATTAACATTTTTCTAGTCACAGGAACGCTTAAGGAGCCTGTGAAGGGGTGGCTTGATAATTTCAATGGACCAATAGCACTATTCATCGGACTTGGAAAAGGGGTGACGAGATTGATATATACGAACTCAATCGCGCGCGATAATTATGTGCCGACCGATATCGTCATCAAGGCTCTGATCGTCGCAGCATGGAAGCATGGATCAAGGACTACGTATGATCTTTCATATTCGATTAAACTATAATTGTGTGTACCGTCGTAAGAATCGCTAAGAATGTCAAAATAATGAAATATCAAATAATGAAGTACAATGAGGAGTTTTTATGACGTATTTTTCATCAATCGAGTAACAAATTAACGAGCTATTCCGAATTTTCGTTAGCGTTATGCAAAGTAAGTTCCCACTCGTATATAACTGCACGGATTATCACTCAAAGAGTCCGAGACACAGAATGATGACGAAGATTGGTGAAGTTGCTTTGGAGAAGTATTCCTACGAAGGAATGATCTGGGCCCCCTACATGATTATAATAAATAGTCCGTTCTTTTATAAACTGCTGCTAATACTGCTGCACGTAATGCCAGCTTTGTTTATCGATGGATTGCTACTTCTAGCGGGTAAACGACCAAGGTAAAATTAAAATTCTTACATCTCCGTCGATATTCATCGGTTGACCGATCGACCTCTCACAAGTGGTTCCAAATTGTATTCGTTAATACATTTTGAACCAGGTAGGAAGTAAGGTCTCGTGAATATATAGAAGAGATCAGGTCAAGGTTGACCTGAATTATTCTAATTATGCTTTTTGTTTATCTATTTATTATAAGGGAAATAAATCGCGAAACATTCTTTCTAGAACATACCTTCTGCTCAAAACGCCCGGAATTACTCGTTTGAGTAACGCGTGTTTATATTTCAAAATCCTTTTATGGTTAAGTTAGAACCACTGTACTTAATTTCCATACAGAATTAAAGCATTATCCTCCAATTAGTTTGTTCGTGGCAGCTTCGTGTTTATATCAGTCGACTTCAGGTACCATCTGCGATTTTTTCGCTGTCGAATACTGTGGAGCAAAGAGTTTGCTTTAAATTTTATGTTTTCAACGAAATCTTTTGTGCCGACACATTGAAAATGCTACAAAAAGCATATGGGAATAACTGAATTAAAAAAAAAAACAGGCATATAAGTAGTATAAATTGTTCAAAGAACAATACAGCCGTCAAAGATTTGTCTCGTTTTGGTCGCCCATCTACGTCAAATACCGATGAAAACGTTAAAAGAGTGAAGAAATTAGTGTTTGAAAATTGCTATATGAGTGAAAGAAAGATTGCTGCCGAGCTTAATATATTAAATGGCTCTGTCCACCATTTTGACCGAAAACAACTGATGGATTTTGCATCACAATAATGCACCATCGCATACACCACTTCTTGTACTATTACTCTCGTGACTATTTGGCCAAATACTCGTCTAACATTATTCCGCAGGCACCATATTCGCCAGATGGATATGGCACCCTGTGACTTTTTTCTCTTCGCAAAACTACAATTACCACTTTGTGGTAAGCGTTTTAAGACGACTGAGACAGTAAAAGAGAATTCGCTGAAGAAACTCAAGGCTATACCAAAATCGGCTTATGAAAAGTGCTTTGAAGATTGAATTAAGCGTTGGCATATATGTGTTGCACAGAATGGGAACTATTTTGAAGGCGACAGAATAAATTTATCAAATAAATTTATAAATTTATAAAATGAATAAACCTGAATATTTGAATATTTTGTATTTTATTCCGGGTACTTTTTGAGCAGAAAGTATGAAAAGCAACTATGTTGTAAAAGGAACATTTTATGATTTCTTTGTCACTACTCTTTTCTTTCTTGTAATAAATGTAAGGCAGACTGGAATCAAATTGGCTCAAGAGGCCATGTTATATTATAGTTATGTTATAGTTATATTAATTCATATATTTATTGTAATATATTGTGAAGGAAATAATGGAGAAAGAATCGTAAAATGATATTTTTAAAACGTAAAAAGTGAGAGGATCATTTTATGATTTTCTTTTCAACTATTTCTCTCATAATAAATACATAAACGAAACGTAAAGTTAGTATAATCTTTGGATCAATTTGATCTGGTTTTATCTATTTTTCAGCTTGCTGAAACTGCAGAGGAATATTTTTATAGGCAATCAAGCTCTCGCATACTTCATAATGCACGACTGGGAATTGCGAAATCAAAAAATGTTAAGTTTGTCAGACGAAGTGCCAGCTGATGACCAAGAAACATTTGGATTTGCAAAGGATTTAGCTTATAACTATGACAAATATAAATATTTCGAGTAAGTAAGAAGCTTTCGATGTTTTTCAATTAAAAAATGAGATAGGTGTTAAATCGAGGTCAGATGAAGTCATCTTTCTCATTGCTTATATATATATATATGTGTGTATATATATTATATATATTATAGAAATTGCATAATTGGAAGTAAAATCTATCTTCTAAACGAAAGTATGGATCGACTAGAAGCAACAAAAGCGCATTACAACAGGTGAGATCTAGCAATACATTCAATTTTTGGTTACAAAATATTCTAAATCTCTTATCTTAATGTGTTGAATTTTTTTTTCATTGATTGTTCTCTTACGAGCCAATTTTTTGATAATAATAAAATGACATTTTAACAATTATTAACTGAGAGATATGTAAAAGATGATGTTTATTCAGATGATGATTTTACTTGGTTAGCGATTTAAGGTTATATGATTTTCGATTAGATAAGTACCGACATAATTATTTTCTTTTCCGATGATTTTAGAATGATTTGGGTCGACAGAATCGCGAAAATACTGATCGGTATTTTCTTTATATGGATGATTTACGGATGATTGTAACTATGTAAATTGACTTTCATCGGCGTTTATGGCTCATCTATAATTATATGGTATTCAATATTGGCAATTAATACCAAATTATACAAATTTATTGATTATTGAAATACAGTACTTTACATTAGCATAGAAATTCATGGCGTTAAAAATCAAAAAGGATACATTTTGAAGCATGTATCAATTTTCATTGTTTTATGTTGCAATTATTTAATAAATTGATTCTTATTTAATCAACGAATTGCAAAGATCTTTTTTCTTCCTATATTCAAAATCTTTTTATGTCTATATTGCGTATAATTAAAGAAAACAGTAAAAAATGAAGTTCCTTCACGGTAAAGTTATTTTAACGATATACAAATGTATTTTACATATATTTTGAATAATTATTAATTAGTATCTATAATATATTATTCATATTTATATCCTCAACTTTCAGTACGAATTTGTTCAATTAAAATACCGAAATCTGTTATTGGCGTATTGTGAATGATAATAAATTTATGTTCTATAATGGGATTTAAAAAATAGCCCTTTTGTACGGTGATATGTCATGATTTTATAATATTTACCAAAATATGTTAATAAATCCTTAATACAACACATAAATTAAGTAACGCAAAATTCTTTTGCAATCCTTTACTATTAATATGCATAACAGAAATCCCAACTTATAACTATACTGGTTAACTATAATCTTGTGTACTATATTCTTGTATGTAAATTTCACTTTGATAATAATGTAATATGGTAAGATATGATAATGAATATATTAATATGGAGGAGCTATGCTCTTTGAACCTTATTTGAATTAATTTTAGAATAAATTATCATGTTCAATGTCTGTAACAGAACGAATTCAATCACACACCTTCGTACATCGTTGAGAAAGCAGCAACCTTTGGTTTCCTTCTCGACTTCTGTTCACTGTTTATTTTTATTTGTCGACTCGTGCATCAGTACAATTGTTTATTTCTTTATTGAGGTCTATTCATTACTATTGTTGGTTCGAACCTGAAGACAATGGAATCGTCTATACACATACAGGCTTTCTTCGCTGGTCGTAGTATATTTATAACGGGTGCAACGGGTTTTATGGGAAAAGTGCTTATTGAAAAATTGTTACGATCCTGCCCCGACATTGCCAAATTGTACCTGTTGATGCGGCCGAAGAAAGGAAATGGAATTAACGATAGGCTAAAAAAATTGTTGAATAATGCGGTAAGTTCGGAACAAATCATGTACAGAGAAAAATATCAGCTCACTTCGCTAAGAAAAGTGATTATTTAGTTTATTTTCTTCCTTTTAAATTATGGTTAACTTCGACAAACAATATTTTATTTGATTATAGTTCCAAAATATTTTATCATAAATTCTAGAAAAACTCATTATCATGTACCCAAAAGAAAAATTTATTTTTTGTTCTTTTTTCAATGTCATTGTATAAAACTTATATTTTGCAATGGCAGGAAACCGAATTTTGTTTTTATATTAATGTTAACTTGATATTCTTCTTTTGACTTAAAACTCTTGATTAAAGGTTGGCAACAGTCAGGTTGGCAACAGTCATGTCGTTTTTCACGGATAGATGGTTTTATTTATCATTAAACGCAATCAACTTCACTTCAAATCTTATAATCTTTATATCATTTGACAGCTGACACCTCAAGCTTTTTTTTTTTTAAAAGTACGTCATTCGGTGAAGAATTGTTTGTTTGGCCTTGAGTTAAAAATAAAAAATCAAAATGAGCATTTCCGCCATATTTTTACTTTTTTACTTCCAAAAAGGAAAGAACGCTGTGCAAGCCCGTCAAAAATTATGTGCTGTGTATGGCGAGGAATCCTCAACGGAACACTAGTGTCAGCGTTGGTTTGTTCGTTCTTGTTCAGGAGATTTTTCTGTGAAAGATGCACCACAGTCAGACCGGCCAATTGAGGTCGATGACGACAAAATAAAAGCATTACTTGAATCCAACCGCCATTATACGACACGGGAGATCGCTGAGATGCTAAATGTACGTATCACATACGGGCATTGAAAACCATTTAAGACAACTTGGATATATTAACAAATTCGATATTTGAGTTCCACACGAATTCAAAGAAATTCATCTCATCAAACGCATCAATATCAGCGATTATTTCCGGAAACGTGAACGAAACGATTCATTTTTGGGACGAATGTTAACTGGCTATGAAAAATGGATTGTTTACGACAATGTGGAACGAAAAAGATCGTGGAGCAAACGTGATGAGCAGCCACGAAGCACTTTTGAAGCAGACATTTACCAAAGAAAAATTTTGCTATCTGTTTCGTGGGATTATAAGGGTATTGTGTTTTTTGAACTGCTTAAACGTAATCAAACGATTAATTCGGAATTGTACCGTCATCAATTGAACAAATTATATGAAGCAATCAAGCAGAAGCGCCCAGAACTTGTGAATCGTAAAGATGTTGTCTTTCACCATGACAACGCTAGACTACATATATCGTTGGTCACTCGACAAAAATTGTTGCATCTTAGGTGGGATATGTTATCATACCCACCATTCGCCTGACACCTTGCATCATCAGATTACCATTTATTTCGTTCCTTGTATAATTCTTTAAAGAGAAAAAAATTTGATTCTGATGAGGCTATCAAACAGTACTTGGATCAGTTTTTCGTCGATAAGGACCAGAAGTTTTATAAGGCTGGAATCATGAAACAACCAAACAGATGGCAAAATATCATTGAATTAAATGGACAATGTATGGACAGAATAAAGTTTTTGCTTTGAATAAAAAAATCGCTCTTCATTTACATAGAAAAGAAAACGACATGACTTTCTTGCCAGCCTGGTATTAAACTTATTAGAATTTAGAATGTATCCTGGATAAATTTTATACTTATGATAAGCTTGTGATAAATCGGCAAATTTATATGTTTATATTATAATATTTGAAGCGAATAACATTTATTTGTATGAAATATCAATTTATTTCTATGCATGTAAAAAAAAATCAGAAAACGTTTTACGAATGCGTATGCGTTTGTTTGCGGTAGATTCGCTCAATCTCTCAGGATTTCCAACTTATGATTCTTTTTTTCACTCGAAATTCGGAACTTACCGAAAGAACAACGAGTAATTGCAACAAATAATGAAAAATAATGCCTCTTAATAATTGTTAGTTTCTGTTACAGCTGTTCGATAAACTAAGAACCGAGCGACCATCTACTTTTGACAAACTTGTTCCCGTGATGGGCGACGCAACTTCTGTCGGTTTAGGCTTACTGCCCGCAGATAGACAAATGCTAATCGACAAAGTGTCCGTGATATTCCACATTGCGGCGAGCGTAAGATTCGATGACAGCTTGAAAGACGCGATTTTTGCCAACACCAGGTCAACGAGGGACGTTTGCATCTTGGCTTGCAGTATGAAGAAATTAGCGGTAAGTTCTCGCTTGACGAAATCGAATTTACCGCAGTGTCACAAATTATGCGAGTAATCGTATGCATTAAACATAACTGCTCTACGGTATAAGAAAGTTTTCCGCGCTAGACAAAGAACGATATCATATTCAATTGGCTCGTATTTGAATGTTTGAACGGAAGTGCGTAGCTGCCTATCAGAATAAATCACGTAATTGTGCGTCTGTTTTTCTGTCGAAGGAGATTATACACTTATATAAACTTGGCCACCATTTGCGTCCTTATTAGAGAAGATCTTGAGATACAAAATAGAAAGAAAAATAGAAAAATAAGAACAAATGCGGAGCAACAAGCGCGCTGATTGCTCGAACGTTTAAGGTGCTGCTGCACGTCAGCTCGACGTATGCTCATATCGACAAACCCGTCATCGATGAGGTTCTGTATCCCGCGGAGGTGGATTGGAGGCGAGTGATCGAGATTGCCGAGACTATCGATGAGCATGTCCTGAAAATGCTGACGGCGAAGTAAGTTCCGAGCGCGTTACGTACTCATCGCGCGCGCATCGTCAACACGTCTGGGACTATTTGTAGATACATAGGAGCGATGCCAAACACCTACATCTTCACGAAAAGGCTGGCGGAGCAAGTGATAAGCGATTATGCCGAGTCATTGCCTTGCGTTATCCTGCGGCCTTCAATAGTCATATCGACAGTAGAAGAACCAATAAAAGGGTGGCTAGACAATTTTAATGGCCCTTTTGGGATGTTAATAGGTGCTGCTAAGGGTATCTTGCGTGTGACTTACGCCAATCCTGTCATCAAAAATGACTTCATACCAGTCGATCTAGCCATCAAGATAATGATAATAGCGTCTTGGGTCCGCGGGCTTAAAACGTACGATGAACAAGTGACAAGCGAGTCTGTAGCATACATTTCGTAATTCCGACGATTGACGATGAAATATTAGAAATAATATCACCTCGATTTCTTCTCCCACAAGCTTGATATTTGTCAATCAGAATAACGCAAACACGTAATTTTTACACGACATCGCGATACTTAGCACAAGTATTCATGTACTCATAACATGTGTCTTCTGATTTAGCATCTCCGAGGATAAGACAGTTCATGTTTACAACTGCTCGGCGGACCAAACGAAGGCAATAACTATCATGCAAATGCAGCAAATGGGTCTCGATATTCTGAAAGATATTCCAATGGAGAATACTTTTTGGATTCCAAATACGATGTTAACTAAGAACCGTTTGGTATATTACATTCTGATGCTACTGCTGCATATCTTCCCTGCTATATGCATAGACACTATTATCAAATTGTACGGAGCACGTCCGATGTAAGATTTATTTAGAAAAGTAGCAAACATTACTTTGACCGTTTCGGGAGTGAAGTGTTAAGAGAGATATTCAATGGATTACTCGATTTTTCCAGGCTACTAAGATTGCAAAGGACAGTATACGTGTCGAATAGTGCCCTGTCGCATTTTCTGTTGAATGAATGGTCCTTCAAAAATGATAAATGTCGTGACTTAATCGATAATCTTAACACCGAGAACAAAAAATATTTCGGATATAATTATATGGATATTAACATACGAGAATATTTAAGGTAATAAAATTTATAACGCTAACATATTAATTATGACACTGTAAAATCTAATTTGTCTGCAACGCTTTCGTTTAATATTTTTAGGAATGGACTTATCGGAACGAAACTTTATTTACTACATGAAAATAATCTGGAAGCGGCTAAGTTACATCGAAAGAGGTGAGTAGAAGAGTAGAAGAGTATTCCTGTGGAATAAACAATTGCTTTCTGATACAAAATACTTCTTGACTTACTCAGCTTTCTTGATGAATTATATTTACGATTTTTCTTTTTTTCGGCAAAGCATCGATGTATTGATAGTCTTTGAGTTAAAAGTAAAAGCCTTTTATCATAGCAAGACTCAAGTGAAATGGGTTAATGGGTTAATTTTATTGTCTGAAAAATCGATGTGATATTAGACACACACACACACACACACACATGTCGCACGTGACATGAAAACATTATCCACATTATCCACAGTAAGATTGAGAAAATCAACAACCAAGTAGAACAATCCAGGATAGCACTCTAACGAAAACGTTTTGCGTGGCGTTGCGAGACTACGTGCACTGTTTGATCGATGGTGACACCGTTAGTGAAAAATTAGGTCGTAACGTGGAAACACACTGGCAACTGGTGAAAATTTCGCGCAAATTGTAATGTCGGCCAAACTATTTTCAGCAACTTGTTAATTTTAGCTTTACCCAGAAAAACATACCAGATGTTCTTTGATTTTCTTTCTTGCTACTTAGCGAATACAGCAACGTTATCAGAAATAGTGGATATTTTCTTTAAATTTTCAAATTTTTCCTTTTTCTTCCTAGTTTCTCTTCTAAGTTTTCTCCTCTGCTTTTTTTTATAACTTCATGTTAACGTGTAATAATCGATATAAACGATCGCGTGTGCAAAGCGAAGCATATGTATCTGTAGTTGCTGGTTTTTATATATGAGATTTAATATCACGAACATAAGATTTCAAAGCAAAATTTTTTTCACGAATTTAATTGGTCGATTAATTGCCAAAGTCGTGTATAAATCATCTTAGAGCAAGTCATCTAAAAACGTATGCATAATTTGAAAGCAAAGTGTTGCAACAGATACTTTGCAATAATAAATAAAAGACATAGTTGAAAAAAAAGAAAAGGAATCATATACTACAATAATCACTTCACAATAATAATAAAGAGAAATAAAAAGATATTCAAATTATTATAACAGTTAATATATGAGATAATTAAAGATAATTAAAGTAAAAAACCGAAGTTTCTAAATATCATCTGTTGCGAACTTTTCTCCTTTGCACGCGTATATGACGCATTTACACTTGCTAATTTGCCTATCCTTTTACATATTTTCTGAAAGTAAATTACTTCACTGCAGGTGCGTACGTCATTGCGATGGCATATTTGCATTTTTTGCGTTTACGTAACTTAGATATTTATACGCACACGTGCAAGTTCGTTACGTGAGAGATTCGCACTCTTCTGTTCCGTATTTATAAGCGATCATATAACAGACAATAATATCAGGAATATCAGGAAATTTTACTCGCTTACTGATAAAAGAGACAAAACTTGTGTCACTTGCAAAAGCAGAATTAAAGAATCTATTTTAAGCGGAAATAACTTTCGGGAAATCCAAGCCTAGAGCAAATCGCGCATAACGACATAAACACGGCACTCCTTATCACTGCGTTGGTGAGATCTATCTATTCACTATGCATGACGTTGATTCACTCATTATTATCTTCGTTAATTTTCCTTATAAAATACGGCAGAAATCCACGTCAACTAATTGTAATTGTCGTAAACGTCAACTAATTGTAATTGTCATAAACGTCAACTAATTGTAAGTGTCGTAATCAGTACTCCCTGTTTCGTGCAAATCATCCGTCTAGACTTTTCCTTCGCTTCGGATTTCCGAGTTCAACAAATTCGAGTCAGTATTTTTCACGGAAACGTGATTCTCGTGATTCTCGATACTAGACTAGATGCAATTATATAATGTATGACTATGATCCTGGAGTCTCTTGGAACTTCCAATACATCGTGAAATTTATCCTGATTATATTGAAATTAGTAATCTATACCTGATAGATTAATTTTAAAAACGTATACAAGATAGATTGCGTAACGAGTACGATTATTTTCGATATAACATGTTGAAGTGGAAAATCCACTTGTCTTTTTATGTACTCTACAAAAGTCAATTATTTTACTGCAGTTGCATACGTTTATTGTGATGATGTGTTTACATTTTTTGTGTTTACATAACTTAGAGTTTATTTATATACACACGTGCAAGTTTGTCACGAAAATCTCGGCTGAAAAGTTTTATCGAAAAAGTTTCTAGACCAAATTCTACGTAACTTATTAATTAAACAATCTCTAATTAATTACAAATCCACCCTTAATTCACAAATGTAAAAGTCAGTGTTTTACTCTTTCCTTTTATCGTAATATACAACAATTCTATTTTCTCTTCTTTTTTTATTTTTTCTTTATTTGTATAAAAGGTATAACTCTAATGTCAAACGTGTATCAATGAATATCAGAAAGTACAATTATTTGTCTATTCTTAAAGTTGTATTCTTAAAATTGTAGAACACACTAACAATGACTGTTAAGTTAACAAAGACTTTTCATTTACTACTTAACATTCGATTCTACTGTCCGTCCCAAAAATACAAAACGGGAATTGCTCGCGAAACTTGCGGCATATAGAAAAGAGCACTGGACGATGTTTAATATAACGATATTTTTAATGTTTCAGGATGGTATGGCTTCAAAGAATAATCATGATAATGTTCACAATATTTATTTTGTGGATACTTCAACGTAAAAATATACTGGCCCACATTTTAAACGTATATGTATAATAAATATTTGATATGTTCTAAACTACTCCGAGATTATTCGCAATTATCGATAAACTACAGAATACTTTAAGAATCAAAAATTGATATTCTAACGATAAATACTTAGCCGCTCAAATATGATCATTTTTCCTGTGTCGTTATTGACTATTCATTTCCGATCATAGGTACACAAAAACTTGCGTTTGTTTCAGAACTTTGACCGTTTACATCGCTTACTTATGTTGTCTGTCGAGAACATATTTAATATTTCGTTCTTTGTAACTTGATGAATAAAATTCCGAAAGCTGTAACAGAAATTTATGAAATAAATCGCATTGCGTATTGTATTGATTAGTCACCAGTTTTACTGATATCGCTCCGCTTTCCTACCGAGAAATGATTGTTTAAAGTTGCGCGTGCAGACACCAATTTGATGATTATACTCGAACATATTCTATCATCATAGTCGATCATTATAGTCGATTGATAATCACATTTTATCATCGTGAAAAGGAAAAATGGGAGCAGCATTGAACGCATCAAAGTTCTTAATTGTTTTATCACCGATGTCCACAATCTGCTGTTGCACCGTAAACTTTTATCGGGATACACGTCACGCGTGTTTCCGAGAGCTTTAGCATTATGTCATAATATAAAAATAATAGATTGGAGTACGTGTGTTTCTTTGTTTGCACTTGTGCGACATTGTAACAACGCGCCTCTACGTGTACGCCACTATTTTCGTAGAAAATTACCATCGTTTCAGGTATCAAGAAAATCCGTTTCGCAATGCAGGGAAAAACGCGACCCAGTCTGTTCGGATCGTCGTGGAACTGGTACCTGAATGTGCAACTTCATGCCAACAATTATTTCTCGGTAAAACGGCGGATTACGCGCGTTATCGAATCCATATGATCCTCTCACCGTCTCTTTCACCTCGCACGAATACATGCCGAGCAAAGGTGAATGCTATCAATATATTGTCAGCATCGAAGCACCAAGCCTTTGCGTCGAAAATCAGTAAGTACTGATTTTCAGAGAAGACGTGCTCACTTTGCATGTCTTATATATTTCACTCATCTTCATCCTTGGGAATAAGATTTTGTTGCAAAATCTGTATTATGATATATATCCAAAAATAAAAAAAAATCATTCGGTGGGTACAAATAATATATTTATTTAAATTTCGCGACGTTTAATTAAAATATGCATTATTTTGTTTTACGATGTAAAGTAGTGTCCAGACGACTACACACATTATTATTGTACTATTATATTGTACAATGTTATTGACGCCCTCTGTAGCCAATTCAATATAACTGTCAGTTAAATTATTCGATAACATTCTATAATGTAGATGGCGACTTGTAAATTTCAATACATTGAAGAATAAGTGCCCTTTCCTCAGTTTTATTAGACACTCTCCTCTTGGCCTGCATTTAAATTTTGCATTGAACTGGAACGATTGGCTTTTTTGAAGAATTAGTGTACATTTTTAGAACTTGGGAAGAAAGAGGTGTAGTTGAGACTTGATGAAAAAGAAAGGAAAAGGAAATTAGTGTATATTAATGCAGAAAATTTTTAGAAAAATAAATTTAATATTGCAGAATAATATCAACAAATGAATGTTTCATTAATTGCGCGATATATTTCAAAGATTTGATTAAATATAATTTTGATTAAATATAATAAATTATTTAAACTTCAAAGCTTCAATTTACATATAATCTACATACGATCAATAATATTAAAAAAAATATATATATATATATATATTTATATATATTTAAAAAATTTATTATATTCAATTAAAAGTTCTTTGAAATATATCGTGCAATTAATGGAAGCAAGGTAATGTAAGCAAGGAATGATTTCATGCGATTTTCCACCTGCGCGTTTTTAAGCGTCTTAAAGAAGAAAAAGCGGACTGTTATGTGACTGTTTACGGGCGATTTTCGGTGAAAATTCAACCAACGTGTTATCAAGCCTTTGAAACAAAGAAATATCATCGATGGAACGAGCTTATCAAGGAATGCGTCAGTGATAAAATTACGACAGACATAATTCAGGAAGCAGTTTTCGTGGTGAGGTGCGCCCGAGTGAACGAGGAAATCAGGATACTTTGCGTAACCTGTAAAGTATTATCCGCGTAGTCGACTTTAAAGCCGCGGTCGCTGATTAAATTCGAGTACGTAGTGACGCACATGCATCTGCGTACGAACCTGCTGGTGCTTCGAATCGGGGTTAAACACAACTACGTCATGAAAACTGGTAGTGAACGAGCGTTTCGCAAGGAAACTTTAATGGCAGGTTATCGGCGACCGAGCGCGTCGTAGCTCGGATCTTGCTTATTATTCCGCGCGTGCGACTAAACGTCTTCGCTAAGCGGTTTCTGCGATTCCCAGTAAGTAATATATTGACGTCACACGCACAATGCACCTTTCCCTTGCAAGAATAAGATCATTGTGCAAACTGGCGTTTTTTTTTTAGAATGTAATAAGGCATTTGCGCGCTCGTGGCCACCGCGAGAATCTGCGATTTCGATCGCGAGCTCGTCGAGTAGTCGTCTTCACCGGTCGGACACCGTTTCAGCTCTCGATGACACGCAAGGTATTATGAGAAGCGTCGCAGTGGATTGTACCTTGCATCGTTATTCGAGTCGCGAAAGTATGAAGCTTTCGCAGTTGGATTGGAATGGCTCTCCGATTGAAGAGTCTCTCGGGATATGGAGAGACCTCTCGGAGGGAACTCTCGGGACCTCGAATTTGATTGGAAATCGCGCTCATATGCGTGCATGTGCGTGAGGAACGACCCGCTAATGATGCACGTACGGACTCCGGGCCGTACCATCTCAATCCTTGATTGGGAATTCGACTGATCGGCGCAAACCCGAGCACGTTTCGGTTTGGAGACGTGACCTCGCGAGAACCGCATCGAACACGCTGTAGCGCTCGAATCGTCGCATGAAGACGAAGTCACCGTCTGATTTGCATGCATGTCTCTCCTCCCGTCTCTCTCTCTCTCTCTCTCTCTCTCTCTCTCTCTCTCTCTCTCTCTCTCTCTCCAGTGAATTCCACGCGTGAATGCACCGCTCGGTAGCCTCGTTTATTTGCAATCAGACGATACCCTTATCGCCCGTGTGCCTCGCGCGCAACATGCGTCTGCATGTGCAAATTAAATGCCGCATAAAAAGCCGTCCCTCTGCCCTCCCTCTTCTCTTTCTCTCTGTCTCTTTTTTTCTTATCTCACTCTTCCCCTACTCATTGCTGTTTATCACTCCTCTTTGTCACGCGCGCTCCAGCTTTGTCAATCGCACTTTACGCGCGCGACTTTTGTTTCACGCCGGATTCCGGTAAAAGTCATCGTATTAATAGCCGGGCCTGCTTCCTCTCCTGCGGTTTTCCCAGCGTCACAGTGCGGAATGTCATTAAACTTCATACACAGTACTGCGCATCGCGTACTACACGCGAGTATCTCCCGGTCGTTGCGCGATCGATCGTTGTCGAGCCGTTGTTGGCCCTGAGATATAATAGACGACAATTAACGCGCTGTTTCGCTCCTCGCCATCGTTCTTCCGATCTTCGCTCGGCAGCTGCTACAATCCGGCCCCGAGGTGTTGGCCATTGAGAACTCGCCACGAGCAACGATCTCTTATTCGCGCAAAAATATAATACACCTCGGAAAGCGGTTGTCTCTTTCTGTTGGTCAGTTGGACTCGATTCGCTTGGTCATCGCTTTATCTTCGGCACAAAAGAGAAGGCTCTCCTTATCGAGAAGCACTTTTGCTTTGCAATATTGTATCGCAGCTGGCTATCGGAAATCTGAAATTAAATTCACGTCGAAGTCTACCTTGAATTTAATCTTAGAAACCTGATCTACGCCGTGCGAGGTGGAGTTTCTTGCGTGCATTTCGCGCTCGTGCACGCGACGACTTTACTGTCTGATCGGATCAATACACCGTGTGTGTTTTTAATAATTGATATCACATATTGCGCGTGCGTGTGATTATTTTGCGAATCTCGCGCGGAAGAAATTCGCCGTTCATTATCGCGGGTCACAGCAGTCGGTGACTCCTTAATCTCTAAGTGCACGCTATCTGTTTACATTTATTCAAGCTGATAACAATCGGTTAACCAGCCGACCGACAGACTCGTGACTAATTTAACTTGCGGACATCGTAATCGATTCGATCTCTCAACGCACTTGGAACCGGTCGGCCTTCCTTCGGAAGTGGTTCCGCGGCGATGCGACTCATTCTCATAGCCGCGAGAAACGGAGGAAGCAGGAGACGAAAGGGGGAGAAGAAACGAGGGAACTGTGAAGAGAGGAGAGGAGAGGATGTTTATTTATACACGTGAATTCCGCATACGCGCGTGTCGGGCTTCAACGATCTCGGTGAGTTCGCGAAAGAATAGAACGCTGAAACTATGATAAAAAAGTATAAGAGTCTAGAAGTTATAAAGCGACGCGCCGGACTGCGACATGTCGACTTGCCGGGCGGATTGAATGCTCGGCAGAAATAAACCATTCCTCGGTAAATCAGAGATGCCCCGACATTCGCTCCGGACCCTTTGCGATCTTTATTGCGGAACAGATGCAACACGCCCGGTGCCAATTTCTCGCGGCGGCGAATTGGTTAACGCACCTAACGCACCTAACTCGCTTTCTCGAGCGGCCTTATTATTCGCCTTATTACAAAGCCTGCTCGTGGAAACAAACGTGGGCAAACCTGAGCCGCGTTCGCGCGTAAAATCCTCAAATCGCGATCGTGCAATATTTACCGGTGGTACGAAGTAATGAGCAAACCAAGTCAAATGGCTGATAGCGCGCGCGATAGTCGATATAAATTGTTCGCAAAGCTCTTCGTTTCGAAATATTGCGCTGATAGGAGAAACGAAAACGGTTAATCTCACTGAAATTAGACAGTTTTCAGTGACAAAAATATTCTGTATTCTATTTTTCTTCTGTTAATATATTTTTATTAGTATATTTTTCTCTTGTTCCGACAGAAAGACAACGGCAGCGACACGTGTATAAAATTATTTTTTGCGAACAATATTTGCTGCAAAAATTGTTTTCGCGTGTATAATTATTTCGTTAAGTAATTATAATTATAAATACCGAATATTTATATATATATATATATAATATTTTCGATATATGTATATGGAGTTATAGTTTTATAATTATAAAGTTATGTATAGGATTATATATACCGAATAGTTTTCGCGATTGCTGTGTCAATATTTGCTTTAGCTAGTTGATTCTTACTATTTTATGTGCGTCGATATATTTTTAATATTAATATTGTTTAACGGACTGCATCGTGGGGCGCAACTACAGCCGCGTCTCGTTTCGGAAGAAGCCGATGAAAATAAGTCCTTCGCGATGCTACTAGAGTTTTCAATCCCGGATACAATTTAGGATCCCCAGGATTTCGGGATTTTTTGGATTCCATCTCGAGATCCCGGGACTAGTCCCGGGATTATATATATGTAAAGAAAGAAACAAGGAATATTTACAAATAATAGAATTATTTTATTTATAGAACGTCCATAGACTTTTATGAACATTATGACAAACAAAAAATAAAATTTCAGTAAAAATGAAAACAACTTACATTAATGATTGCACAAAAACCGTTACAATTAAAAATTAAAGTTTTTGTAATAAAAATAAAAATAATTATTTCTTCTTTTTCACATTTGAAAAAGCGACTTTAAAAATAATAAAACATAAATTTTGTTAAGAAATATCTGATCGAGGATCCCGGATTCGAGTCTGTGTTGCGCCAGTTTATCCGCGAAATTTAAATTAGAAAACTCCCTTAATATTTAAAATAAATAAAAATAATACATGGAATTAAATTTAAAATATAAATACACACTTCTCTAGCAAATGCTCTAAAACATCAGTAATAAGTAATAATTATTAAAGTAAAATTTTTATAAAATGTAAATATTATATAGACACTAAGCATTAAATTTTGAAATCCCGAAATCCCGGGATTTGTGATGTTGAATCCCGAGTATTTTCAGGACCAAAAATTTGGCCGGGATCCCGGGATCCGGGATTCCGGGATTGGGAACTCTAGATGCTACACAAGTGCATCCTAATTTGCTTCTCAAAGTATAGAATAACATCGCGACTACGCATGATTGCAAAATCGCGCGAACGAGAGCGTTTTTGATCGCGATTGCGTATACGTATATATGCGCCAGTCGACATTTTTCCTACGATATCTGTGTAAACATTTGCATTATCTGTAAAGTACTGGTACCATTGATATCTTTCGACAGTCTCAACGCGTGTTCTGCACAATTCACGCTTCGCATGCAAATAGGATACTTCTTATGTGCACGGACATGTAGGAGAGAATTTTAGATTCTCATTTAAAGACACATCGGATGTACACACACACACACACACATACACACTTACACACTCTTTCTCTCTCTCTCTCTCTCTCTCTCTCTCTCTCTCTCTCTCTCTCTCTCTCTTTTGTTTTCTGTATTCTTTCGAGTTCTTACATGTTCTTTCGAATTTCAATGCAAACAACTCGGATATTTGCACTGCGAGAGATATCGCGTCTCATTCCCTAGTCGGGATTTATTCGTTGCGCATTTCTCGCAAAGCCTCGAACTCATATTTGACGTCCCGCGGCCGTCGTTCTGTGCGTGTACGAAAAGAAACAAAAAAGGAAAGAAAGAAAACGTTCGTCGATTTCACAGCGGGGCCGAATCATATGCATCCTCAGCACGTGATCTCTTTACAGAGGATGTGGATTGTTCGGCGCGAGGCCGCGGTAAACAATTCGTAAAATGTTGTATGCGCAAGCAAGGTGCAATTGTTAAAACAGAACACGCATTGAGTACACCTCGTTACCTACGCAGAAATCCAACGTAAGGCTAAAAATAAAAACAAGAACCGACGGACACCGGAGATAAGGTGCAGTCATAATAATGTCTTCGAATTAATGCACACTATTGCATAGTATGTTCGTCACCGTTCCACCGACGCGATGTTAGCCGCGTGGATACACGGCGGCTCTGAATGTGTTCGGAGACGACGCAAATGACGATGACATCATTGACGACGCATGCGCATTAATGGCAGTTCCAATCCATGGCCGTAGCGCGCGACGGCTCATGAGATTTTCAGTGAAATTCCAAATTTCGGCAGAGTTTCACTCATAATTTTCAACAAATCCTTTCGACCCGCTCGCCGTCCCTTCTTCTGCGCTTTTCGCATGTCGGCGAAGCCGACTGACGAGAAAATTCATCCTGTTTTTTGTTTTCTGTTCGAACAGATGGCATAAAACCGCTTGGCATAAAATTACGAAATCGTTAGCGCTTAACGCGCCCCGACTACTCGCCTGCGCGCGAGAAGCGGTTGGCCGCCATTTTCAAGAGTTTGATGAAAGCTTAAATCTCTAAACGTAAATCTCGGTGTTACGTAACAGCCGAAAGTATGGTAAGAAGAACTGCACAAGCGCGATAACGCGAGAATTGTTGACGATGCAGCTGTCGTTATGCTGCAACGAACGATGATCTCGGCGACGATATTCCGTCGATCGTGTTCGCTCTAGCACCGGCGAGGTAGCCGAGACACAATCGACGTGGTCACTTCGGGAGCGGGCGCTGGGGTTCTAATCGACTAGTTACGCTACTGGGCCGCGCAGGTGATTATGACGTACCGCGAGACGGCGTCGCGCTGCATCGCGTCGCCGGCACGCGTACAAGTCGTACCAGTCGCGGTTGTGTATCGCTCGAGATCGGCACGTAATTGTCGCGTATTCGCGAGACGACACTCAAACACGCGAAAAGCACGAGATAACAATCCGCGAGTCAACCGCGACGGCCTTCGCTCGTCTCTTCGTCGTCCCTCTTCCTCCCGCAGCCGGCGACGGCGACGGCGGTGGCGGCGGCGGCGGTGCGAGCGAGCGAGCGAGCGAGCGAGCGCGCGCGCGCGCGCGCGCGCAGCATTGCGCAGTGGGTACCAGGCGCTCATTGGGCAGAGGCACGCCGGGAAATACGCGAGGGCGCGCGATTAAAAGAAGCGGAGAGAGGAGAAACGGGCGCGGAAATTCCAGAAAACGGGACGGGCAGTTTCCTCGGGTGCGAAAGCGGCGCAGCGGAGAGACGAGAGGAGAGCAAGAGAGCAAGAAAAACGAGAGAAGGAAAGCGAGCGAGCGTGCAAAGACAGCGCAAAAGATAGCCGATGGTAGGCGGTGGTGTCGCGTCGCCGGCTCGGCAAAAATCGCGACTTGAGATAAGGACCTGGCGATATTGAAAGTACGCGTGCACACAGTGCGCGGTTTCTCTCCGCTTCGCCAGAATCCGACTCCGTTCCGATCGCGAGTGTTCCCCGGCCGCGAGGTGTTTGCGTCGGCTGCGTGCGAATGTGCACCGTGTGCGTGTGAAGAGGCCCCGATCGTTCGCCGAATTGCGCAAACAAGTCTGTCTGCCTGACATCTTGGAGAAATCGCCGTTCTGTCGCGCGAGAGCAATTTTCGAACAACTCGAGTCGCTCGGCTGCCAGAAGAGGGAGACTCGCCAAAATTGATTTCACTCGCGTACTTGGCACGTACTTTCGTAGCCAGAGGAGAGGGAGAAGGAGGGAGAAGGAGAGGGGAGATTCAGTGAGAGAGAGAGAGAGAGAGAGAGAGAGAGAGAGAGAGAGAGAGAGAGAGAGAGAGAGTCGCCGACGAGAACATCCGACTCATATCTGCTCAAAACAAGATAGAGGCGGAGACTGACGAGATACTGAGCGAAATACATATTGGCTGAGGGGCAAACTTACGGACCCGTTAGCGTCCTAGGATAAGAGAGTTCAAGCGAGACGCGTAGAAGACGAAGGTGCAAACGATACAGACAGTCCGCGCTCGTGCAAGTGCCGAAAAACTCGCGAGTCGTTGGAGATGGAGATATGGAAACTACGTGAAACGTGGAGTGTCTCTGCAATGCGATAAGAATCGCGAGAATCGTCGAAGCGAGAGACCGACGCAAAAAACGCTCGAGTGTGCAACGTTGAGCACGGACGATTGCGGCGATTCCCGAGGCTCTCTTTCGGCGGTTTTCCGGAGCACTTTCATGAATGAAGGGCCGCGTGAGGCGCACCGTCTGATGCGCATCCCTACGATACGATTATTCACAATCGCGTGACGAATTCGTGAACGAATGCGTGTGGGAGACTTGGTGAGAACGTACCGTCGCGACTGCGCCATCATCTTCTCGACGTACGAAGGAAACGCCCGAGGTAATTAATTCGCTATTCTTACCCGCCGGACCGACCGGAGAAACGCGGGCCGATCTGGCGCGGTCGGTTCATTCAGCCTCTCCTCAGTCCATTTAACCCACTGGGACCGTATTTATTTCCCGAACATTGAGACTAAAGCTCTCGAAAGAATATTTTTGAAGATGTGTATACAGAGAAGATAGAGAAGTAGAGGAAATTATTTTAAAGTCATATTTCTTCTTACAATATTTTTACAGAGTTGGACTATGGCGATATTGTGTTATGAATGAATTACCATGGAAGTAGTAATTAACGTAAAAGAAAACAAAGCAACAAAACAAACATGCAAGTAATTACAATATTGTATAATAAAAAGGCAAACGTGCAAAAAGGCAACACATTTAAATAATTATATTCTCACGTATTTATATTCTTACATGGTTGAAGATTACAAAAGTTTTGCAATTTTTATTACGATATTTTCCTACGATACCAATAGATAAGATCATAGGTTGATACAACTTTCAATGTGCAAATAGAGAAATATTTTTAAAATCTTGTATTCATAGCGAAATGTCATAACGAGTCTGTCTTGTTCTCATATCTAGACAGAAGTGTACGTCATGAGTCAGACACATTATGCCGTCTCAATGGGTCAACATCTTGGAATGGATATATCGACTTTTGTAAATTAGCCTGAAATAGCCCGAGCTCGTATTTCGGTTTTGCCAAAACTACGAATAACAATAAAAAAATGAATAATTATTAAAGAAAGAAAAGTGCATTTGATTCTTTCTCCGTTTGTGATTTCTTTATGAATGCAGAAAGGGATATGGAGAGAGGGAGAAAGATAAATGAGTCTTTCCCTGCAATGTTTTCCCGCCGTGTATGTAAACCAAGCGGTAGAATCATTCAACTCGTTTAATCTGCCTTGACTAATAGCAATTAAGACACACACCGCAGAAGGACGATCGATAATTTCCAAACATAAACGATGATTAGGTATTCACCAATTTCCATACTCTACTCCCAATAAAATCCTTGAACTGACGGAACTTTCGGCAAGACTCGATCGGTTTGCTTTGCGGCAGCTAAAGTATTCTCATCGGTGTGATACCGTATATTAGTTTCATAGGCAGTCATATAAAACAGCGTGTCTCGAGCGGCAAATTAGATCTGCTCGTTTACCTTGTCGAGTCGTTCCCTTCCCGGAAAATCTGTTGTCATCGATCGTTCAGTCAGTGAAAAGCTGAATGTTGATAACGAGAAAACATTATACATCGCATTATGCCGATTACATTAGATTGCAGATATTATCGGAAATCGGCGTTGAATTTCCCGCGAAAGACACCGCGGAAGACCGCGTTCGCCGATATTTCTCCGGTAGAGATCTTGTCACGCGACGGAATATTATATAGTCGTGGTGCGTCTGTCGTGCGAGTTGGACGCTTGATGCACACGTGTAGCACGTGTAGCACACGGGTAACAGTCATTTGATTGATAAGCGTGTGTTACGAGGCGAGAATAGCACGAACGATTACCAAAGGAGCTCGTTGGTATATTAAATTAATGAATACTCGGAAACAAGGTAATTTTCTCACAAACGCGAGCGCGCCTACTTTCCGCAACGTATACAAAGCCTCTTGAGACTCTGTGCGTGCGTGTATGCGTGCGTGCGTATCCGCGCTACATCTTTTGTCAACTACAGAAAGATGATGGAAAGGAATCGTAAAAAATACTTTGTTGAGGAAATTCGACGTTCACAGTTTCGACGCGAGGACAGAGAACGACTGGTGTTTAATCAAATGATTGTTACTTAGTTTTCTAATCAACTGTCGAAATTATTATCGACTTGGAATTATATATCGAAACAATTGAGGATTTTCATTAAAATTTCTCTCTCTCTCTCTCTCTCTCTCTCTCTCTCTCTCTCTCACTCTCTCAATATATGGAATGCGGAATAACGAATTTCTTGCTTAACCGTTACATTTAATTTAAATTACATTTCAAAGAAATTTCTCGCTTTAGGACGAAATTAACATGAAAATTAGAGACACCGTGAGAGAAACAGAGTGAAGGGACAGAGATATGAAAATGATCTCGGCTGTACACAAAATTTGCATTTATTGGGAGAATTAACAAGACGAGGACAACGTTTCGTCCGCATGACAAAGTCGCTCTTATTTCGCCAGTTTTTCTTTCCGCGGATCATTGATCGCTCGCATTTCTTTGTCCATTGTCCACTTCCGAGTGCGGTGATACTACGCTTTACTTTAGTCGGATCTTTTCGACGCGGCGTTAAGCTTTATCGGGGAAATCTGTTAACCAAATATTCGAGGTCCGAGCGAAATCGCTCGGCCGACCTTCGACCTCAAAATTTTCGCAGCAAGTCAAGGCGAACGTCGAATAGATCGACTTATCGGCCGAAGATTGCGAGCGGTGTAATAAGTCGAAAGTGGTTCAACGGATTTCCTCTTGTTGAAAGTTCATCAATTTTCTTTACTGTGACAGTCGGATAGTAATTTTCGCAGTTGCGCCCGCACTCGGTGCTCCCGTAATATGCGACGCTGATTTATTATTAATCCCGTTCTATCGTTTGCTTCCTCATTGTCAACTTTTCGTGACCTATTTTTCGACTTAACTGTGAATGCAAACGTATGGACGATATGGATTTTTCTGCCGGACAATGAGCACGTCAAACAACGGCATTATCGCGAATGATAGCACCTTCAATGGAAAAGTTCGCGATAAATCAACGCAAATTACAACGTGCGTCTCGTATCTTACAGTTGGTAGCGCATTTAGTAATACGCAGTAATACGCCGCGTATTTTGCGAATAGCGACGTGATCACGAAAAGGAGACTAATCGAGAAGGGGAAAGGTCGAAATTAATACAATTCTGTTTGTAACGTCACGAGTGACTTAAGATGTACAAGTTCGCTTAAAGATGGAAAGTTAATTTCGAAGGAAGTTTGCAAACGCATAACGTCATTTCCAACGCACCGAGTTATTCAGCAAGAAACATTTTTCTCGTCAATCGAATTCATATCAATTATCCAGAAAGATAAATCGCGAGTTAGACTTTGACCAACGTTTGGCTCCCACAATTGTAATAATTTATACAATGTAGTAGAAAAGTGGGCGCGGATCTATGCGTCATAGTAGATACGCAAAAAGAAAGCAATTAATTCTTGCCATTCATGTTTCGCAGATTCACCGAGACGATTCTTCCTAAGCATTTTGCCATTTATTATACGGAGTTAGGGGAAACCCAGAAACAGGAAACATGGCTAATCCTAGTCGAGTTTCGCCGATACGGATCGAGACGCGAGCGCTACAATGCGTCTCGATTCCGGACTATTCGTCAGTGAGCTCGCTGGAGGAGGACTACGGATCAACCGAGTCCGAGGACATGTCCACCAGCCCGGACACATCTTATCGCTCGAGCGCTGATGCGGACAAGAACTTCGATCCCGAAGAGGACTTTCGCAAGGAGCTGGTGAAGCTTGACGACATCATCGAGAAGATCGAGAATCTGCGGTTTGTGCGCGTCGACCACGACGACGACGACGACGACGACGACAACGACGACGACGACGACGACGTCGACTCCGATCAGCACTCCAACTTCGATGAGGACTCCAACGTGTACGTCGGCAAGACATCGCATCGCGTCACCAGTGAGAACGTAGACAACGTGGAATATCGGAACACCTGCGAGCTGCCGAGGAATCGTCAACACACCGACAACGAGGACATAAACAATAACGAAGATAACGGAACAGTCGAGAAGAACGAGGCTGCCTGTCAGTCGTTGAACATACACGACGAGGTCGATGACGAAGAGCGACGCTATTCGCAGGAGGATCAAGACTCCGTGGACGAGGAGGCCGAGCAGGAGCATGAAGATTCTGACGACTCCGACCTGATCGAGCGTGGCCCGATCAAGCCCGACATTCAAACTCCTTTCCGAGGAGGCCACCCGTACTCCATCCGTTGGCAGTCGATCGACAATACGGACGCTATCCAGGCGGACGCCAGCCACACGCTGGACTACGACAAGACCGCCGAACAAATCATGAGGAACAAGTATTACAGCGAGAAATTGAATCCCTGCTTGGACGAGCTGTCCAAATCCAGCCGGAACCAAATGTCGATGGGGACGATAATCGGTAGCCTGACGATGAACTCCGGCTGGGTCGACAAGACCGGCGACGGCAGCGTCTTCCGCAACGAATCCGTCAGTGACGTGAGTGTTTTATATTTTATTTTCTTTTTGTTTCAATCGCCGATAATTCATGGAAAAGCGCACAATTGGCCGATACGTTCGCATAACGTGTTTATAATGTCTGATAGCCGATAGTGATATATATATATATATATTATAAAAGAATTAAAAGATCATTAAAAGAATATTATTAAAAGACTATTATGAGAAGAACATATTTCTTACAAAATCATGTGGAAGTCTAGCGTGAAGCGATTCAGTGCTTTACTGCCGCGACGAAAACAAAGAAACATCATTGAGGATAAAAGACAACTTCTTTCCTTCTTCGTATTCAATTCATCCTAAAAGTCCTTACGCAATTACGTAATTATTGCGAGTCGCGATAAGAAAACGTAGATCGCGCGTGTGACGAGGCGACGATACGGCGTAGGAAGCACTCGCCGGGTTTCCGATACAAAGGAGGATTTATCTCATTTCAGACCGCGGCACTTCCCTCCATAGTCGTCAACCCAACCGAGGAGTCCTTGATGGACATCCTGTCACAGAACATTTTACAGCCCGCGGTGTTGTCGGACGCCGGTAGTCACTCTATTCCGTCGCCGGGAGCGAAAACTTGGTCGAATTCACCGGCGAGCAGCTACAACTACGTCGTCTCGAGGTCGAACAGTCGCGCGTCGAGTCGCGCGCAATCACCTGGTTCCGCCACGAATCTGGAGTCGCCGCAGATGCACGTCAACGTGATCGACAGTCCGCTCGGTTCACCGCAGGTAAGCCCGCGGTATCTGCATAAATGCATGAGCTTACGCGCGCATAAGCACTTCGGCGAATCCGCGCGCGCGCGCGCGCGCGCAACCGGCGAAGCGGAGGGTACACCGTCGCGGCAAGAAAGTTGCTCGCTTTCCCAGCAATGAGCAACTGAGTGTGACATTAGGTAGGTGACCGGTGGAAGGACGATTTCTTCCCGCTGGGCGAGATCGCGAACTGCGAAAAAAGCAGCATGAAGGGAAAGGGTTGAAGTAACGCGACACTGCGACCTATCGTGTCACGTTTGCTTCTTATTTTCGACCTGAACCGTCTAGCATCCATAGATTCTAGAAGAGCGATTTAATTGTAGGAACGAAAGTCCAAATTAGCATCTCCAAATAGCAGAAGACGCCACTAATTTGCCACTTGTGATTCCTTAAGAGGTCTTCTTGGCAAAGCTGCAGGTTAGATAGGATCCACGTAAGGCTGAGGAGTAGAACTGAGAGAGTATCAAATTAGCGTGAACTAGAACATTGAGGAGGTTGAAAGTGGGACGAAATTTTCGAGCCTTGCGGATTTTATTCCTCAGGAAAATTTCACTCACGCGTGGCTTTCTTACGAGTTGATGAACGAGAGAATGAAATGCTGCTTACCTGGCGTGTATTTCACGGTTCAGCATCGTTCTTACAATAAGAATAAAACGAATCCACATAAAAAATCGGCTTCAGCAGGATGATACGACGTCGCGTCGCTTCAAGTGTCCGCCACGAGACATCTTTTTATCACAATTTGACGAGTCTCGCGAAATAGTCTCGAGCAGCGGCGTAATTGACGTCATGACTGTCACTCATCGCTTCGCGTTGCCCCGACGTACAGATGCAGAACGAATTCACGGCCAGATGTTTGCATTAATCGCTCGGCTCCTTCGGCAGGTCGCGTCGACTTATCGAGTGCCGCAGGCGTTGTCCTCCTCGTCCTCGTCCAATCAGTCCTACGGCGACGCGTCGAGTCCGTGCAACTACCAGGTACCCTTGAGTTATCAGGCCGAGGAGCAGCTCGACGACTGTTTCGACGCTTTGTCCGGTTGGAAGGAGTCCTACGACTCTTCGGGAACGATCGCCAACAGCAGCGAAACCATCGACTGCGATACCAACGACTTGCTGCAGATGGTGGAGCAGATGATTGAACAGGACAAGCAGCAGGAAGTGCTGAAGGAACCGCAGATCGCCTCGAACGCGCCTTATTTCCCGTCCACGTACGCAACCCAATGCGTGCCTGCGCGCACCTCGCACACCAACCCTAATCCCACGGAGTGTACCTCGAACGAGCTCGGGCGGGCCAGCAAACCGGAGAACTCCGGCCTCGGCATGTCCAACGCGAACCCCATGGTCCACAGCCTGATAGACGGCAGTCTCGTGTCGGTCTATACGATGAAGGAGGGCACCGGCGGTTATACTTTCGTGAATCGCGCGGTCGACGGTCACGCGATCGGCTCGGAGCAGAGGTACTATGAGCCGGTTGTGAAAGCCGCCCAGTACGACAACGGTCTGTGCAGCATCGCTGGCTTGAACACGCCCGACAGCTCCACCAAGAACCGTGGAAGCCCGGGGTTATGCACGTCACAGAAGTACGCGCTGCCACACGTCACCGACGGGGACGAGAGATACAACCATTCGTCGACGATGTACATGCCCAGCGACTATCAAATACCGACGATGGTCTCCTCGTTCGTATCAGCGAGCCGTCCGCAAAGGTAAGAACGTTTCTCTGCAATCTCGTATCTTGAAAACGCGAGGCCGTGTCTTACGTACGGGACACGAAAAGTAGTTGAATGATGTAGAGAGGGGCAGGGAGAGGAGAAAGACGATGGCATTTCGTCCAGTAACGACGATGAGAGGAGAGAAAAAGATATTTCTCCGAGTCCCAGGCACAGAGACAGGCTTGTTGGACAAAACGCATTTCTGTAAAAAAAAAGCAAAGGAAAAAGAAAAAATGAAGACATCTCTTTCCCGGAAAAACGTGACATAAAATATGCTATTTGAGTTGCAACATAGTCGTGAAGTACGAAGATAATCGCGCGCGTTATAGTTGCGCAATGAAAATTAATGACGGATATTGCAAAAGACGACAGCGAGATGTAACAGATTGATTGTCAAATGACGCGTTCGTACCTCTGATGCTGTCTGATATATATAACTGATGTGAATTATGAATTTGAAATGAATTTGAACGTAGAAAAGAATAACACATGAGAGAGCCTTCTTACCGGAGATGCAAATGCGCAACAATCGTACGTTGCGCTTAACAATTGGTCACGTAAGAAAATAAATATACGGGACAAAGTTTCGATCGGCAATCTCTGCAATGGTTGAATAGGCATTAGCGATTCAAAATGGTAGCAAGGCTGGAAAAACGTAGATTCTGTGTTGCAAATAAGAGTTCGCACGCGCGCGTGATTTCCATCAAACACGTTTCACGCAGATGATAAATCTTAGTCGTTTATTTGTCCAATTAACTTATCAGTTTATTGTTCGAGAGATGATGCAACGTCGCTTCAAGGAGATCTCGTATCACACTAAACAATTAGTATCACGAAGTGAACTGTTGATCGATTATATTGTTCTATTGATGCAACGTCTAGGATATTATAACTTGCTAAAACTCACATACTTTGTATGTATATATACAAAACAGATTGTTTACATAAACATCGCTTTTTCTCTTGCCACGCGTTGCACGTGTTTTGCATATGCAATGTGTCTGCCGGTGGAATATAAATGTTATCATATTGTGTGTGTGTGTGTGTGTGTGTGTGTCGGCAGAAAATACTTTCTCCGCGCTTTAGAATTTAACGCGCTGTTTCAACGATCTTTTTGTAGCCAATCTCCCGTCAATGAGTTCCCGCTATATTTCCTGACCATGTATCTCTGCGAATTGTGATGGCTCGTGCTTTGTGTGATGGCTGCCCCTCCATTAAATAACTGAAATCTATCAATCATTATAATCTGACAGATTATCGTTAAAATAACTATAGGAGCGAGGAATGCGTATGCATGTTTAGTTATGTGATGCCACGATTTCCAATTGCTATCGGCGAGATAGACAGAGTTGCCGCCGAAAGTGACAAACAAAGACGAACAAAGATCGGGATTTGTTTCTGGAATAAGTGCGTCTGCAGGACGAGTGCGAGGCAACAGTTAGTAAGTGACAGCCAGTCGACGAGAGTGCGTCGGCAACGGCGAGTCAAGAAGCGAGATAGATGAAAATTCCCCATTGTCACAGCCATCTTTTTCTACTTTTCCTTCGTTTAAATATATTGATTGATTCACGTATATCAGTGGCACACTTCTGATCCTCGTATGCTATAGCAATAAACCATTTATCGGTCTAAAAAATCTGTTTGTGAATCTTCACTTCGTAGTTCGTGTAACCAGTTTATCGCTCGAGTACAAAGTTCGATGGAGACTGTGCACCGTACTTAAGCCCGATCATGTACTTATCAAAAAATTGATGTTTGTTCATTCGGTGTGGTCTAGTCAATTGTTCGTTGCAATACATGACGCAAATGAAGAAAATACGAGTTACAATTTAATAATCACTACTAACACGTTACGTACAAATATAAAGATGCTTTTTCATAATCATCTTTATTAATCATTTCTCTTGAAGAAATTTAATTTTTATTGATGAAACTATCTGTCTTCTTTGTGTTATTAGTCATACCGTATAAAATTTCGCAAGGTCTGAAAGTTTCTTTACACAGTTGTCATTAATTAACAATTATTGTCACCGGTTGTGTCGCGAAGCTCTGGAAATTACGACTTTTCAGTCAGCGATTTTTACTCGCGTTAAAGAATATTATAATTGCCGTCGCTCGATAAAATGATAAAAAGTGTGGTTTAACGACCCGACTGTTTTGTCGCAGGAAGCCGTATCAGAGCATAAAGCCATGGCCAATGCTAAATTTACCGTCCGTGAGGGCGAGCGAGAGATTGAAGGAAGTATTACATCCTAAGGAAGTGGAAAGAGCCATGAATAATCTGCTGAAGAAGCCTATAGAGGAACTGGCGTCCGCGGACGAGGATGGCGATACGTAAGTGATTCATTCCGCTTGAAACACGAACGCACGAATACAATGTGCATAGAGAGCAGGTTCAGAACGCAACATCATGTTGCGTACATCGACTGATAATGTACCAAGGCAGCGCGCTGCGCTTTTCCGACTATTTAAAATCACCGCCGGCTGTCAGATTGCGGACGGCGCGCGTCGAGCTTCCGCGTCAACAGTATCGAGCTCGCGTGCTTTTTGCATTTTCTCGAATAATAGTTACTCGCTCGCTGTAATCGGTAATGTTCGCGCGTGACAGGTCGCTAATGATCCTGATGGGCAATCCGAACGAGCTGAAGAAGAAGATGGCGCATCTGGTGCCCTTGGTCGAAAGATTGAGTAGTGTACGAGGTGCGCTGGCAATGGTGAACAATCGCGGCGAGGACGCTCTGTACTTGGCAGCGATGAATTGCCCGGAAATGTCGTACGTCACCGGATACTTGGCCGCAGCAATGATGCAGAAGCAGATCGATATGAACCGATTATATCACATGCGCGTGAGTTTCTTTGAGGTTCCTCAAGATTCCTTAAGAATGAAACAGTGCGACGGTGATGCGTTCGTCATTAATTCAGCCGTCGCATGCACGGTATTATTACGTACATTATCACTTGAACACTACCGAGCGATCCGAAATTACCTGTTTATAATATCTTCTTCAGACGCGTTTTACATTCATTCGATATTACGAGCGTTCAATAAATCTAAAACAGATAAACGAATATTCTTGAGGGGCTCACTTCTTGTGAGACTTATTACCAACATACCATTCGGATGATACGAAGTCCGATGAGAGATCGATCGATCATCTGTTTATTCCAACATCGATGCCTGTTTATTGGCTGCACATAATTAATTCTTTTTAGCGCAATATATAACGAACTCCTGTACAAACTGAGAAAAAGTACAAATTAATAATTACCATTGATAAATTACGTTCACAGATAAAGGTGCTTCTCGAGAATCATCCTCTAACGCTAAAAGAGCTATGATTCTCATACGTTTTCTCATATGTTTCTCTCTGAAATTATTTTCCCACAAACCACTGTCGCGCATTCCGACCGGTTCGGTAAAAGTGAGTCGGCGCTTATGCATAATCGTCGACAGTTGCAGCGTTAATCAAAGTATCAATGTGTAACGTTCGCGACAGTCAAACAAATGACCGGACAAATGACAAACCGGTTGCTCGCGAAAGGAGATTCCTATCGGCGCGGTAATTGCGCGGATAACGCCATTTTGTTAATAAGCAACACGCGCGAGTGCCTAATTATCGCGCGAGATTATCGGACAATCGCGTGGACGTGAACGATACGATAATTAACGCGCGGGAAAGGCGAGGCGAGTTAGTGCGATTACACGGAGGGCCGGGGACCATTTCGAGGGCGAACGCGCAATTTTGCGATTATCATCGTCGTCGTTCACTCGGTTTCCTTTCCGCTTCAGGGCGACACGCTGATACACTCGGTGGCGGCACGTGGCGATTCTCACGGGGAGGTGCTGGCGGAGCTGTTGGCACTGAAGAAGCCGGATGGGAAGTCCGCCTTCGATCTATCCAGGTGCAATTACAACGGTTAGTTGAGCGGAGATGGCGATGGCCCGCGGTCGATACTGAAATCAATTGAAATCCGCGCTGCGAACATCCGTGCCTGGCTTGATCAGAGGAGAATAAAAGAGATGGGTTTCAGGTAAGACTGCGCTTCACGTAGCCATCGAATCGCACAGCTCCATCGGACGGGACGTCAAGTGCCTGGCGACGACGCGTCTGCTCCTGGAGAACGGTGCGAGCGCCAGGGACAAGGAGAGTAGGTGCGGTGACACAGCCTTACACATGGCCGTCTCGTTGAGCTGCGACCCTGCGCTCGTCAAGGTAATCTCACCCAGGGGACTTCCCAGATTCACGTGCGTCACTTACCCGCGAGATCGAAATTGTCGTTATCGTGCGTCGTTGATCGCCGTGTAATTGAGTTTTGAGGTAAAATTAGACGCCTCGTAGAATCTGTTTGCGCGGCTGGAAAGAAACGTCTTTACCGCCACCACAAAATCGAAGGATCTCCCCGGAGTTGATCTCGACGGCGTGACTGCGGATATGTTCCTCGGTGAAGTTCGAACGAATCTTATCTTAATTGGAACATAATCCGAAGTTCAAGCGTAATTAAAGTGTCAAACTGTTGTAACGCGGACAACACGAGCGAGAGAGAGAGAGAGAGAGAGAGAGAGAGAGAGAGAGAGAATATACGGCCGTGACGCTGTCCGATTCTCCGAAGGAAGATTTCATTCGCGCGACTTCTCCCGTAAACATCCCGTATGACTTGGCCGCGAAGTTGATCCCATTGACTTGAGAATATCTGAAGGGAATACTCTACGAGAGAAAGGTCTAATTAGCGATAAGGGGAATAGCCAGGGCGCTTCGATTATTTCCGTGACTTCTTCGCGTATATTCGGCTCTGCGTCGGCTCGTAACGAACTGAAGTATCATTTTTGAGAAAAAAATTTGCTACGTTAATTTGTCGTAAGTCGACGTGTCGCAAGATGTACAGAAACGAAGCGCGTACAGACGAGCTGAATGGTAAATAACCTGCAGTGCCGTGAGAAAACTTGTCCTTACATTCTTCCTCTTACTTGAATTAATGATGCAATTTTTGGACTTGAACACTGGATCCCTGGATGCAATTCGCAACGCGGTGGATGTCCAACGAGAGAACTTGATTTCTCGAGATTATTCAGAAACAAATTTTCCCCGCCGGGACCACCGGCTATTGTCGCGTGAGTTTCAGAATGCATCTGTCTTGTTCAACGGAGAAATTCCGCCATTGAAAGAAATAGATGTATCTTATACATTTCCCGTTCAGATATTTTTTCGTCGACGAGTTTCGTCGGAGCTCATAGACCGAAGTGAACGAAGTTACAATCTTCATCGGTCGCTTCCCTCTATACCCGAGCGGCCGGATAACTCGCGATAAAAGAAAATATTCATTAATCAAAAATGGCCGATAGGAAACAAGAGGGAGCAAGTTGCTCGTTCACCCGGAACACCGCGCGATAATTCTTGGTAAACGGCGATACCATTATCGGGATTGACTAAAGATCGCAGAACAACTTCGTTACATGTAATAAAAATCAATTTAACACTCTGATACGTCGCGTTCTCCGCTCGCGCTTTACGTAACACACAGTGCGCGCGATAACTGTCGCTTCTCCGAAGGACCACCCCGGTAGACCGAAGCGATATATTTCATCTGACACATCGGAAGCCTTCACGTTTGAACGCGATTGAACGCGTCTGCCCGCGTGACGCAAATGCGGGCAGCAGCATACGGGTGTGAAGACACTAGCATAACCCCATTGCTAAATCGGTCTTCTGAGAAAGTTAATAACCACCGAGCAAACGTATCGGAAAGAGCATTAACGAGAGACGAACGGTAGGAATATTATCGAGAGAACACTCCGACTTTGTCGAAACGGACGTTGCGAGAGAGCGGAGAAAAAGAAGAAGAAATGATGAAAGAGAAAGAGGAGGGAGAGGGGAGGTGAATAACATCCCCAACGCGAATCGCGTTCGACGCAACGCATCTCCATAGCTTAGCTCTCCTCGCGCCATATCTCTGTTCCCGATTTCGCCGACGCGATGATGCCTCCTCGTCTCCCCAACGCGAATCACGCTCAACGTTTTCCTCACGTTCAACAGGTATTGCTGTGCCACGCCACTCCGGACGTCGTGAACGAGACCAACTACATGTACAACACGCCGTTGCACATGGCCGCGGCGGTTTCGAATGCTGTGAGCCTGGAGAAGCAGAAGGAGGTCTGTCTGCTCTTGATACAGGCCGGAGGTCAGACCAACATACAGAACCGGCAGGGTAGGACACCCCTGGCGCTCGTGTCGGCCGACAGGAAGGAAGTCATCAAGAAAGTGTTCTATAAGAAATCATGATGACTGCGGCAAAAGCGCGGGAACGAGCCCGACGGTGGTTGTCGCACGTAAGACTGATCTCCACGAGTTTATGTAACTTTAGCAGTGCCGGAAACAGTGCAATCACGGCGAGAGTGTTCGGAAGCACACACCGGGCGCAATGGATCCTCGTCGCTCCGCCTCGCGAGGCGTATACGGGCGACGTGCGTTGATCGAGCGAACGAGCGAGCCTCCGAAAGTGCGAGACGCAAGCCGAGATGCGACACGCCACGAATCGCGCAAAAATAGAATTGGCAGCGGAATTGTCATTGTCGGCGATATGCTGTCGTGTACCGCTCGACTTAAGAACCGAAGATTTATACGCACAGGCTGAGCGCTCCACAAGAGCCTGCGAAGACTTCATCTGGAAAAGATGAAGTCTGTGCCACAGGCATTCGATCTCTGTTTACCTCGAATTCTATTCCTAAGAATAGCATGTCTATGAGCGAAAAGCTGCAGTGAAGAGGGTATGTAGCTACCTACCTTCACATCTTGTCCTTAAACCTCTTACAAGAAGTCGCAGTCTTCGTGTACAAGGTTATATTGTGAACCGGTGAGGAAAATCGTGTACTTTTAAGGCTCATGTTGATGTAGAAGCTTGAAACAAAGTCTCACCTGAGATGTTCATTTACAAATACAGAGCGTCACGTTTGTCATGCGATTCGACCGAGTGGCTCAGACTTGACTCCGAATTCAGATGTCAAATCGCCTCACGGTCATGAGGTAATTTCGTATTTTCAACGTCCGCGAGACACGACCATGTAGCTTCAAGGGTCAACGATCGGCGCTCTATTGCGACTTGAGACTTGAGAAAGGAGTGAAAAACATGTCACGCATGACAGTTGAGCGACCCAACGTTTCGTCTACTTCAGGCCGAAGTTTCGTCGTTCTACCTGCGATTTAGCGAGATCGTCGAGGTCGAATTACGATCACTTTCGGCGCTGAGTATACAACGTTTCGAGGTGTCACGGTATCGATATATCTCTATATGTGTGTGCGTGTTGAATTTTGTATAGTTAAGTTATGAAAAATACTGTTATTATCTTTAACCTGTCATAATCGCATAATATAACGATCGCTACCTGCGTACTTTAATGTTTGAACTTTCCGCGGCCAAGTAGGATCTAATTTCTAATAATATCCCGCGCCGAGAGAGGGAGTGCTTTTTAAGATATGTATGTTTGGTTGTGCTCGATACGTCCACTCGACTCTCGGCGAGATTTTCTCTTACAAGCTCTTGTAAGATTTTCTCTTACAAGCTCTTATAAGATTTTCTCTTATAAGCGATAACGTGGATCGGAAACGTGGATTATATTAACTCGTAACTCCGTTAGATGTAGCTCGAGGTTGTTATTTAACGCAAAAAGGCGCGGTAGGCTCGAATCGTAACACTTAGTAAGACGGGGCAGTTCTATTCTAACATATCTAGCACTACTCTGGCAATGTCTTTCTCCAATTAACGTGTACATACACTTTCCGTTGATATTTTTTACAAGGTGGTTTAACGTTCAAATGTATATCAATTTTAACGCACCGGGCACTCACGTATGTGTAATGCGAATCGCCCGTACGGCCCGTTCGGCGAAACGACCGCGCGGGTCTTTCCGAAATACTCGTTCGGCGAAATTTAACAACGAAGGACGAATCGAGATGCGCGCGTTCAAGGATTCATACGTCGCGCCTCCAATTGCGCTTCCTCTCTTTCCTTTCTCTACAGTTTCTCATTATTCGCGATTTAACGATTACTCGGAAACGCGCGGAACGATGTAGAAGCAGAGCGTAAAACGCGCGCGATCGCAGGTTCGTTTCGCGGAACGTGAACCGGTTATTAATATTGTTACGGCACGAGGGAATAAATTGGCAAGCGCCAGGCCTTGTGTCACATGTGAACACATATGCACCTGGCTGCTTCCGCGAACTGAAAGGCCAGGCGCCATAAGTCACGCCGCGTGTGATAACGATATGGACAACGGGCATGGGAAGCTCGACGTGTCACGAAGAACATGCGTGCGTGCGTGCGTGCGTGCGTGCGTGCGTGCGTGCGTGCGTGCGTGCGTGCGTGCGTGCGTGCGTGGGTGCGTGCGTGCGTACGTGCGTGAGTGAGCAAGTTCGCGCCATGGGCGTGTCACAAGCGCGCTCGGCAGCGTGCCGCATTAACATATATGTAAATCCAAAAATACATTTTTATACACGACAATCTGCCACCTGGTATTCCCACCTGTCCCTTACCGCGGCCTATGTGACTCCCCGTTCTCATCGAGATGCATTGCGATGCGCGCGCCTTGTCACTCGTCTCTCGCGACTGATTTAGCGCCAGTCGACGGACGGTGGATAGAAAATCGTTTTCCGCGGACTTATTGCGACAATGGCGATAATTTGGAGGCCTGCTTGCGTCCACGAGTATCCGTGGATACCGTGGTTTATCTTCGCGAATTGTGTAACGAGTTAGTACAGTAACTCGCTCGAGGACGATTATGCATTAAGCAGCCGGTAAGTTCCCTAAATTTTGTTGTGTTTCTCGAGAAAACAAGAGGAAAATTGATCTAACCCGCTTGTCTGGTTTCTCTACCTTTGTCTACGTGTGATTACGTAAAACGCATAAAATTCCCATCAGGCGGCGGATATTAATAGCAAGAAGTAGAATAACAAATTGCGTATTTAAATAGCGAATACAACGTTCAGTTGTGACAGCGGCTGAGAGATAACCAGAGTTGGGAATAACGTCCAGATTAGGAAGGAGATAAACAAGAAGGGTTATCACTGTGAAAATTACTATAATTTATCATAGTCATGCTGCTCACATCTGACGCGGAGCCGAGGACGATGCAGACTCTGAAATCTATTTCACTTATCCAGCATTATCCAGCGATATCCAGCACTTTTTATCAAGTTCTCTATAAACATTGATTTACTCATGACGAATGATATCTCTTAAAGGCTCTTTCGAAGAGGGTAGGAGGAAACTTTTATGCAAAGCAGGCACTTATCCAGCCTGAGTCTTCATCCGTCACTATGTGGTAACGTGCATAATGCGAACTGTCCCAACGATATTATAATTGAGATACACGTGTACACAGAATGATGGAATTATTTAAATTATGCGTAGACGGTGATTAATCGAGATCTCACATCTTGATTCTCGACACGTTTCTCCATTTCCTCGTAATCATATTCGTATATTCATAACGACACGATACGGAGAATCATAGTGAGATTGCAAACTAGTACAAACTAACTAATTTGTAATTTAATTTGTTTTTGCACATGTTACGCTTCTTTATGAACATCTATGGGCAGGTAAACTGCGAGCAAATACTTATTACGATTCGAAGGATTACATTCTCGAGTTGCGTGAATCATCAAATTGCAATCTCCTGTTAACTAATCAGAGAGTTATAGAAGAAGTAAGAAAAATTCAAAGAAGAATCAAAGAAATAAGAAAAATTCAAAGCTACTAGGAATGCGATTTCTGCCCCTTTTTTCCTTGTTTGATGATAAGCTACGAAAAATGACGTAATGTAAATATTTATATACGCTATTCTATATGCACAGAAAAACAATTGCGCATTAGTGTAAGTGAAATTCCCACAGACTGGAGAAAGTAGGCTAGGAAAAATAGACCAGCTGAAAAATTCGGTCGCGTAGAAATATTCCTGTTGGGAAATTCTTAATTAGTCGATTGTTTTCGGTTATCTCGACCGGTTATCTCAATCCCAATGTGAGATTTAGCGCAGCAGAATGTTCAAACGATTATTTTCGGTTACGGTAACAGAGAATGCACGCCATATGAGTGAATATTACTTCCCGTCATCGAATTTTTTCTTTATTCAGTTGCACGAATCAAAATTTTTCCTATACAGAAGTGTGTTAATCGACAATCACGTTTAATTTTTAGCGAATGATTTCGTTTGCGAATTCTCGGCGATATGTGGTCCCTTGGAAGGACGTTGTAAAATAATTTTAAGTAATTTTACGTAATTCAACTACGGTATTAATTTTCACCATCTTGCATCCCTGCAAGATTCCTTTCTTTTGAAATCAGTGCCATTATATTTTTGATGGGATTTCTATCAAGTACTTTCCAAGCTCGTTGAAGTGAAATCTCACTCAAGGCGAGTGAAGATTCACTTAGGAAGCGACAGTAAAAATATTGCCACTCAAAACCGTAAGAAAGTAAATGTTCCACTCGAGCTTCGAGTAGTTTCTAACTCTGTACAAGCGAGTGTTTCGATCGATCAAAGTAAATTTGTTCCTGTGACAGTGGAGTACTCCGGATTCAATTCTGAGAAAATATCCAAAGAAAATATTCACCCGACGATTCAGAGCGGAGAATGCACTTCGTACGAGTGAAAAGTCACTTGAACTTTAGCGACTCGGTCGTCACGTTACTTTTCGAGCGAAACTGGAGAAATTTCGAGAGTGAGGAATACATTTTATCGTCGCACAGAAAAAAAGAAAAAGGTGTGCCCGACCGGGATTTCAGAGAAACATTAAAAAATCGTTGCAATTTTGCGGAGACTGTCGCGCGCGTTAATTGATGATTAAAGTTAATAGCAGAACATATACATTATAAATTTATTATCACGAATTCTCAGATAGTGTCGCCTTGACCACATCTTTCCGGTTCGCTTCATCGCCGGCGTGTCGGTATCGCCGGACTACCGGAGAGTAACGTGACGCAAACGCACCGAAACTATCACCGTGCTCCACACCGGAGCCACATATTTACCGAACGGTACGGTTACGGGCCCGTCAGTCACCATAAAAAGGCGGCATGAAAGAGCTGTCCATCTTAATCGCGCGTTCGACCGTGGATTCATCCGTCGAACGAATGTGATCGCCAAAAGTGCACCGTATCAGAGCCCGCTCTCTCGTCGCGCAGTGTTCTCAACGTCGACGCGCGGTATTCGTCGAAATTGTTCCGACGTGTTTTTCTTGAAACAAGAAAAAGTGACGTGCGACGGGAAGGAAACGCCGTAGTAAGTTGCTGAAAGCTCGAATCCGCCGGAACAGTGCCGAGTATGTCCTAGAAAGGATTTTCGGCGAAGGAACGCGAGCGAGTGAGTGAACGAGCGAGCGAGTGAACCGCGGAGTCCTTCGGGAGACGAAGACGCGACGGAGAAAACCCACAGTTTTACCACGAAGCACTGCAAAATGGTGAGAGAGAGAGAGAGCTTTTCTTTTTTTGTTTTCCATATTTCTTCCTTTCTTCTTGGGTTTCAAGCGAAGATTGAAACTGGCATATTCGTATTGCAGTGAGTGAGTGTGAGAGAGAGAGAGAGAGAGAGAGGAGGGAGAGGGAGGGAAACAGAGAACGCGGGTTTACACAGAAAGTAAATCCATCTCAAAGTTTTTCATTGTTCGAGTTTTCCAGTTTTTACTAATATTTTACTTTCACTTAACCCCTTGCGCTATAATTTAAGTCGCGACAGCGCGTGCCAAAGTTGGTGATAAAATTGTATATCTATAATGCCCAGTCTACATAAATCGCAAGTCGCAAAATGCAAATCGCAGATGAAGAATATTGATCAAAACACGTAAAGATTGAACCACGAGTTTCACTTGTGTTTCTTATGTTTGGCCCGCAAAGCATATCATATGTCTCACACGATATTGCAGGTGAAATAGGCTGTGATTTAAACAATTTTGATTCATGATAATAAGCCAACTGGCGGAAAAGAGAGGCATGGCGTTACGTAGTTTTCCTTACGCGGATCTTTTCTCTGTCGCGCGATTCGGAAATAATGATAATTGAAGAATCAGAATAAAAATCGTCTCTTATCAGCTGAAGAAAAAGAGTGTGATATAAAAAAATATGTAAATATTTCATCATATTAAACCAATCTGTGAAAAAAAAAAACATAAAAATTTTCTCGTAGACCGCCGTACGATTTGATCGGTCCGGAAATCATGTCAATGCAGGAAGAATTATGTCCTCCCTTATACCTAGCAAAAATTAGTACGCGGCAATTTTCACTAAATATAAAGGAGGAAGTGATTCTCTTCCTGCGTTTATGTTATTTCCGGACTGTTGAAATCGCGCGGTGGCCCGCGAAAAATTCTGATAACGCTGTGTCTCTTTTTCCGCCAATTAGTTATGACGAAATAATTTCCTTCACGTTCCACTCTCTTGCCGCAACCGGCAGCGATTTTTATTAAATATCGTATCGAGAATCGAGCTCACCGCAATTATACTCGAGCGAATGATCATTAATATTCCGATTATTCGTCAACTCACGCCCTCATAACGATTAAGAAATGAAAGGAGGAGGCCTCTGAAGAAAAAGAAACTACCACGGCTCTGCGAAGGAGCAGTTTCCGAAAGACCTAATTGCTCGCTTATTGTTGAAGGGAGACTCATTAGTTATGGATATAAAACCGCGCGGTACGTCGCGCGTGCTTTTATCACTGCGGAATAAACACTTCCCTTTCTAATTTCAGCGCGAGCAGCGCCGTCGTCAGTGAGAGCTCTCTCTGTGCAAGTATAAACGCCGAATATGGGGGCAGGCCTACTCGTTGTAATACTCACGGCAGCATTGTCCGCGTCCGCGAATAATATCAACGGACAATGCCGAATTCACAATGGGACGAAGATTACGTGCAGTTGCATCGGAAACGAGGTACCGGCCACCTTTGCGCGCCGGCGATCGCGATAAACTCGTCGCGCTCACCGCGCTCCCGTTTCCGCGTGAACAAAAATTTCCATACGACGCGATCCCGAGATAGAACAGCCACTGTTCCCTCCGATCGATCCGGATCGTCGGTCGATCTCGAGGACGGGCGCCCAGCCGAGCGAAGCAATCAGAGACTGCGCCTTCCGGTATCGCGTATACTTCCCACATTTTCCTCTTTCTTTCAGGAACTTTTCCTGCCGGACGACTACAATTACACGAACATTGTCAGCGTAACCGTCGCAGGATGCGACTCGGTGAACCTCCATTATTCCAGTCTGACGGAAGCGAGCGATCTCGAAGAGATGATAGTCCAGAATATCAGCGGTCGTCTCGACTTCGATGTCTACATCACGTCGAGCCGGTTAAAGATGCTGAGACTGTCGGACATCGGCCGGATACCGTCGATCGTGGCTCACACATTCGTCAGCCTGGCGAACATCGACACGCTGATGATCGAGAACACGCGCATCGACGAATTCAAGGAGGACTTCAGTTACGTCAACGTGTCGAGCTTTTTCATGAGAAACGTGACGGTCGAGCGGATTGACCAGCTGAATCTGTCGGAGAATGGCAAGACGTTGTGCATAATGAACAGCGAGCTGCGGAATATCGCGACGTCTTTGACATTCAACATCCGCACGATCGAGATCATCGGCTCCAAGTTCCGTCTGCAGAGGCCGGGTATGGTGTCCGTTCTAGGCGACATCGTCATCATCAAGGACAGCGTCTTCCTGAACGCGAGTATGAGTCTGGACGCGGCCGCCGCCACAGTACACGGCATCTGCGCGGACGGCAAGAGCGCTCTCAGGTTGTCGTCCAAGCACATCGACAGCACCGACAACCGGCTGCCCAACGAGATTGTCTATCTCACGCGGAACAATCAGACTGTTAAGTCGGACATGTTCGTGAACAAGAATAATATGGTTTGCAAAGCGGGTAACTGCAAGTGTCCGAAGATCAGCGGACAGGCGCCGTGCTCTGCGGTCTACATCTCGCTTGTTCTTGTTCTCGGGTGCTTCTTGATGTCGCTGTCCCGAGGATTCGGTCTCTTATCATTGTAACGTTACATCTCGTCGCGATGTTGCGGACTATGAAGAAGGAAACGATTCTCACGACCTAATGAATCTTGGTTGAACAATACTGCTTTCGTAAGAACCGCGCGGCCGACTCGTTCATCGATCCGACTGATCATCACGGATTGATTGATCACGGTAAATATTATACAGTCAGGCTGTATTCATTGAGGCTACGCGAAATATCTGGACCGCTACATAAGCGTGTATCCTACACAGATCTAGCTCTACCTCTTCTTTTTCGTGTTTCAAATTGCGCGACGCGTTCTCTAAATGATCATTAAGTCTGTTCTCTCTCGCTTGTGCGTCGTGCAACGCCTGTTCCTTCTTTTGCAAGTCTCCCTTCAGATGCGTTATTTCAGTCCGAGAGAGTAAGGTCGTCTACTAATTGATAGACTTTCAATTGCTCTTGCAACTGTTGGTTAATTTGGCAAAATTCTCTTCGTTCACTGATAGAAGATATATAGTTGAATTAACTATAATCTCACTATATTTTACAGTTAATTTTGGCGTCAACCATATTTTTATAGTTCGTGGAAACCTGCAAAATATAGTAGAATAAACACAAATATATAGTCTTCAATGATTGTCTTAAATAATTGTTCAGTTACTTTTACCGCATATATGGTAATTTCTCATTCACAAATATAGTGAGATTTAATATTCATATAGTTACATCTGTCATCATTTAGCAAATATTCTGGTAATATTGACTATATAAAAGAGTTACTTTTACCTACCATTTTATATTTGCATCTATACAATAATTTTAGTTTAACTTACTATAATTCTTAGTAAAAATATCATATGGTTGGTTATACTATGCCTATATCGTATTTTACCGATTATTACCGATATTATGGTAATACTTACTATAAATATGATATTTCGGATTATAATTTAGTTACTATATCATTATAGTTCCAAATATCATATACTTTTCTTTCAGTGTTTCATGTTTATACTGAACGTTTTTGGATTGAGTTTGTTTCCTCAGTTTTCCTGCCAACGAGTGCCAAACAATTTATATTCGAGCTACGTGAATTATGTGAACCATTATATAAATGCACATCCTACACAATCTACCTCTTCTTTTTCGCGTTTCAGATCGCGTGACGTGTTCTCTAAATGCTATTTAATACTTTGATGGCCTTTGGTGGCTCCTTGACTGTCATTTGACGCCGGTATATCTCGCGTAAGTCCTACCTTCTAACGCCGGCACTTTTTGCTTAATTTTTCTCAGTATTTTATGAAAAAAAAACTGAATATATCTTTATAATTTAAATTTTACCATTTAATAATACCAACCAAGCAAGTGACAGAGCGAAATCACGTGAGCGTGATAACGGCTGATAACCGATGGGCTTACGAAATCACATATGCGTGACAGACAGCGGCCATCAAAGTGTTAAGCTTGATTCTGTCGAGAGACGTTTGTAGTTTTATCGTCGATGAAATTTTGCTGAATTCGTTGTTATTATTATAATTACGAATCTGTAGGATATAAAAATATATTTGAAATAATCGCGCGTGCTTTCTTCTTTTATCCATATAAGATATTTTATTATAAGATATTTTGTTATTATATTAAAATTATATTGTAAATTATATTATATAAGATATTTTGTTATTACATTAAAATTATATTATTATTAATATTTTGAAAACCAATTAAGAGCTTAATATATTATTTCTCCACATCGATCCACGCTCCAGACGCCTCTATCTGCAAATCGATTGCGCCCTTGTGTAGTGCCAGAGCCTCTTTCAGATCATTGATTTCTTCCAACATCTGCCTGTTGTTCTCTTCCAAACGACTGACGGTTCTTTTGTACGAAGCTAACTCTTTCTCCTGATCTGTCTGTATTTTTTGCAAGGCTTTATCCCGAGGTATAAAGGTACCTACGCGAATCGAAGGAATGATTATAACATGTTCTCTGAATTTCACACGTTGTATGATATAATTATAATTGCAATCAAAATGTACTACATGTTATTGCGCACAATATTTCCGGTCGCCCTTTCAGATAACGATACAAAGCACTATCTGTCTTATCTTGATGTGCCAATTGTGTAAATAAAAGATAAACATCGAACGATCACGGCTTATACGAAGAGACTGTGACTTTCAGTCCGAGAGAGTAAGGTCGTTTACTAACCGATAGACTTTCGCAATTGCTCTTGCAACTTTTGGTTGATTTGCAAAATTCTCTTCATTTCATGTTCATGCTGAATGTTTTTGGATTGAACTTGTTTTCCTAGTTTTCGTGCCTACAAGTGTCAAACAATTTACATTCGGGCTACGCGAATTATCTAGACCACTATATAAGCGCGTATCCTACGTAAATCTAACTCTACCTCTTCCTTTTCGCGTTTCAGATCGCGCGACGCGTTATCTAAATGATATTTCAGCTTGTTTTCTCTCGTTTGTGCGTCGTGCAACGCCTGTTCCTTTTTCTCCAAGTCTTCCTGTAGACGCGTTACTTGATTCTGTCGAGACGTTTGTGATTTTATCGTTGATGAAATTTTGCTTAAGCGGTACTTTACCTTTGCAAGCTTACCAAGTATGTTTCTGTGCAGCTTGAAATAACAATTCGTCTCTCAAAAGTATAATCAATCATTGAGACGACGGACACTTACCTTGAAATGGATATTATTATTATAAGTTTTGTGATTTAGAAGGACCGTCTTGTCATATAACCGCATAAACGATCTATGTTTATGTACCAAATCCCAAGTAGAATTTATGATTTGTATAAAAGGCTGTTTCTCTGCGCTTTGTAAATCGTCATCGTTATCTAGAGTTATTGGTGTGATACCGAGTGACGAAAGTTCCTACAGATTTACGTACTAATTAATATCTGCGTACATTTGGACAAAATTATCCATCACGCTTTATTACCTCTGACAATTCGCACAAAGATTCTTTTAAATTGTCTTCTGTACAGAATATGTCTTCATTGTTCTCATCATCAAATTGCGTAGTTGAGATAAAAGTCTCGTCCCCGTTTGGGTGAGAAAATTTGCGAAATATACTCATATTGACCTACACATATCCTTGAGTCATTATTTTGAAAGTGATACGAGCAAAATTTAAAAACCGTTTGCTCAAATTTAGAAAAAAATGTTTGGATTTATTTATATAATTATTTCATTTAAATTTCTCATTAAATTTACGAATATAGTTTTAAGCTTTGTCACTTCATTTTCAAAGTATGGCTAAAACATATTTATTCTATATTTTATATGATACAGTAATATTATAAAACAAATTTATATAATATCTTGTTACGACAAAAGAAGGAATAAAAAATAAAATTGGTAAATTACAAGTATTCTAACAATAAATAATATGTGAAAAAACAAATTTTTTTTCACACAATTTCTCATTCTCTCATTTTTCTTATATCCTGAAAACTTTAAGTTAAATATATCTTAGTGTTACTCATATTTATTTAACATATACAATGTACATGATTCACGAGGAAGATTGTGCTTAGTGAAACGCGCACTAATCAACAGAATACTTGAGCGTATAATTATACGTATTTTATAACTGTAAATGTTCGTTTCTGGAACATTTAACATAAAATTATCACAAAATTATCATGATTTCTACGTTGATATGTCTTCTCCTCTTCTTTAAATAATCAATATTATCAATAATCAATAATCAAATAATCAATTAGTGCCGATTATTTCGTTTGTACATATAAATAATACGAAGACCTTGAGAATGAGCTGATAAACGCAACACCGTACGTAACGTGTCAAGCTTTCGACCCGTTATATTTCCTAACCTCTAACAATGAGGTAACAGAAATAATAAATGAAAAGATGAAGCGATGGAGAAACTTATATTAAATATTTAAATATTTAAATATTAAATTATATATATTGCAAACAGATGAAGATACTTTACTGTTCAAAAAGTATGTATATTTATATTTTCTAACCTCACAGAACTTGATTTGAATACCAGGCTTCTCTGTCGCTGATATTATATGAGATTAATTCAAGTTTTATAATTACTGCTTTCATCTTATTCTTACCTTTTGTAACAATCTTCCTTGTAAATAATCACACAAGTGTAGCTTCGCTACTTTCTTCACCCATCTTAGCTTGTCTTACTTGGTATATAGTCAATCCCTACTACTAACCCAAACCCTACTACACCCTGCTGAATCCCCTGCTCCTCAAATTAATGTGTGCGTGTACGTATTTGTGCTATTGTCCATGTTCGATTGGCTGAGTTAGGCGGAACAAAGTGCTTTGAGAGCGATTAGTGATTATTGACTATGATTGTACGCGGAAAGTATATTTTTGGATGTATGATGGATATGGAAGGCTATTTCAGTAATAACGAGCGCGAGTATATTACGTTTCACATATTTCGATGAAATATTGTTATTTTAAAAAGAATAAAATTGGACAAATTATGTGTATTGATGATTTATTGATCACAATACATGCATTCCAAATATATAATTTTTACAATCTCATACTTGCTTCTCTATTGATTTTTTTACGATGTCAATTACAAAATATAGTTATGATTTTCTCTGTCGAATGCGTATGATGAATGTTTCCAATGTTTTTCATACCAATTATAATTACAACTTATCGTACATTTGGTTTTAATACGACGTGACACTTTCTTCTCGATGTAGTTTAGAACGCAAATGGTTCAATAAGAGAACTTGTTTTTGATTAATTCCCAGAAGTTAAGTTCTCTCATTGTGTGCCGCCCATCTCAGCTGCGTTTCAAACTACATTTAGAAAAAAGTATTCAAATTGTATTTGAACCAATTATATGTCTCTATAAAATTGAATGCAAACACTTTTTCTCTATTGTAAAGGCCTACCTCTTTTCCCGAAAGTTATTTAAGGTATTGATGTAAAAAAATGCAGTATTCCCTATTCTTGATTTGTAAATTCTGAATTTTAAGCTTCGTCTCCTGAATTACAAAGGCTATTCTTCTTAAGCCTTAATCAGAAAATTGACTTTAAAAAAATCAATAAATTTGCTCATTCAATTTTTCATAATTGAAATTTAACATCTTATAACTAAAATTAAACAATTTAACAATGTTTAAAATAATTTAGTTATTAAACGATGTGCTATCATTTAATTGTATTATGTACAATTAATTGCTTTAAATATTATATATCTGTGTAGTATAATTAAATAACTTATATAAGTTATAATTACACATTATATTACATATGCTTATACACATGACATATTTGATGTGCATGTCGTATATCGCTGAAACATTTACTTTCAACTTTATATATCTCATCTCTCCTCAAAAATTTATGTTACACGATTGTAACCATTAAATTTCACTTACTCACATTTCATGAAATAATTATTAATCAACAAAAATTGAGAATTGATAACTTCATATCAACTGTGATAAGTTAAATATTTAGGAAAATGTAAATTTCTCCTCAAAGATCGTATTATTTAAGTTAAGTATCTAGGAAAATGTAAATTTCTCCTCAAAGATCGTATTATTTAAGCTAAGTATCTAGGAAAATGTAAATTTCTCCTCAAAGATCGTACTAATTGACTACTATTTCGTGTTAAATCGCAAAGCTTTAAAAACTTATTTGCATTTGTGTTTAATAAATTACGTTCACGCAAATGAATCTGGTAAGATTTATTTCCCAAAGAAATTAATCTTAACACACGCGCGGCAACGATAATGATTAAAGCATGTTCCTGCTCGCACGTTCCTGCTGTTGGGAAAAATTCACATTTCCAGAAGAGCACACGTGCCATTTTTAAATCACCCGCAATATTGATTGTAAAAATGTACCGTACTTTTCTGATATTATACTTAGGCACGAGTGTTGTGATCCCTCCCTTAATCTTTCTCGATGCTATGAAATGTTGCGCGGTTGTAATTATAAACATAGCGGTGGCGATCCAGAGGATGTCTAAATCTTTCGGTAAACTCAAGATTATAATCCCAATTTCTCTTTTCTGCCAGTATATATTATGTGATTACGTGCTATTATATGTTTAATGTTATTCTGCTATCATATACGTTTGTCTCTTTTGAAACGTGAGCAAATGAAATTCTAATGCCTCAATGCGCGAAGATAAAATTTTTTAAATTATATAGACAATATACACGAACACATGGTTAACACAAAGGAATAAGTTCGTTTTTCTGCATACATTTGTAGAAGGAAACAGAGCAGTACACTTCGGAACATCCTCAATACAGCATTCTCCGCCACTTGGACGAATAAGGCCCTCCGTGGTATACCATTCCCTTTCTCTTTCTATCCCCGTTCGCAATCTGCCGTGTATATTATACAGAAAATCCTCGATAGCTTATGGCGTCGGCAATAAGTCGGGATTTTCGGAAGGTTCCATATTTTTTTCTCCGCAGATGAGGTTCATAGCTAGCTTCCGCCCTTTATTGTTCCACAGGACATAGGAATGTTTGGTCCCCGATACTCTACGTGCTTGACTGAAAACGGTTAGAAACGCTAGAACGTTTACTCAGCACATTGAATAAAGTCTATACATTTTACACTCATTTTCACCCGCAACGAGCTTAAATCCCAAAAAGTCGAATTTCATTCTTATTAAATTCACAAAAGCTCCATGTAATATGTACATGTACATAATTCTTTCGTTAAATTATTGTTAGATTATTGAATGTACTTACGTTTGAAACCAGTCAAACTCCGTAGCATACATTTCGTTGCTACAATTTTCGAACAAATCTAGTATGCGGTATCCTTTGGAAAACGAATCTCTTCTGGACATATCATCAACCAGAGATCTGATCCAATTGTTGAAGCAAAACAACGCCAGGCTTTTGTACTTATAGGCGTGGATGGCGATGTTGGCCAAAGGCGGAATAGTGCAGATAGTAATAGCCGAGTTGGAGAGATGAAATTTGGACTGGAGAACTTGCAAGAGCTCAGACATATCGTCTATCATTTCGTCGCAAGTGGCACCCTAACGGTAATTTAACAGAATATTTAATTGAAGCTTCATTAGAAAAAATTGTGTAACTCTCTTTGGAAAGAAGCAAGGAAGTGTGGAATTTTAGCAAGTTGAATTTCTCTCTCGGGTGTCCTTTATTTCTCGTCTGTTAAATTGATGTTTCTTTTCTTCTTTCATCTTGGATAATATAAGCTATTCTGAATATCACGTGCGCTGGTTGCGAAATGTCAGGGAAGAAATAAAGAAAAATTTGCTTACGTTATAAATATCGACCGATCCGAGTAAAATTATGACGCGATTGGAGATGGTGCTAATGTTCCTTAATGCGCGAGTGCAATCACTGATTGTTTGTCCGGAGACGCATAAACCACAGTGCAATGATAAGCTGTCTGAAAAGTGTAAGATCAAAACTGATACAAAATCCATAATTGCATCTCAATCTGAGATACGTTTCTCTGTTTCGTTTCGGTAACTTTTATCATAACTTTAGTCTTCCTATTTAATTCGCGTATTGATTGTCTCGTCTTTAGCAAAGCAATAATGATTTATAAAAAGAAACAATAAATATATTTTTTCCGAAATAAATAGAAATTTATATAGAATAATAAAAAAAGTGTATTACAGCGAGCGACAATTATATGTGTGTATATATATATATATATATATATATGAAAAGATTTTGCAAATGGAAAATCTTTCTCACCTTTGTAGCGCCAAATCGGAAGATGAAGATTACGTATAGCGAGTTGCAGAAAGAAGTCATCGCCGATCAATTGTTGGCCATTTGCGACGGGCTCGTAAATGTTGGTCTGGAATATCAAATCGTTCGTAACGCCAAAGAAACTCATCTCGGGTGAAGCAATAATAAAATTCATTAGTTTCACTATAAACACTTACAATAGTCTTAAGCTCGTTCGTTTCTATTACTACCGGATGATGATTCTCTTCTTCCTCATCGAACGAGATGTTTCTGTCGCCTGAAATACATTGACACGCATGCGTTTGTAACTTTCGAAATATTACGCGCATAAGCAAACGATGGAAAATTTACTAAACGGACACAGAAACGCAAAACAATATATTACCGCTATTGAAGTAGGTTGGGTCGCGATGATTGAAACTCAACATTCTTTTATTTACGCGGTTGTTGCTGTTGCTGTACACCTTCTTGATTTTATATTTGCGCTCATCGTCGTGATCAAAACTGCTCTTCTGCCGTGTAAATTGCTTGTAGTACTTATTCTGAAATAAAAAGGCTCAATTAGCTCTCCCGTGCAATCTTCGCGACGAGTCGTTGAAAATTTCTACAAAATACGAATCATTCGACGTCTTACCTTTGTCTTTGAGTAATCTCTCTTTTGCTTGCATATTAGTTTTTCGATGTGTGAAATCTTCGAGTCGTTTATTCTTAGTGTTTGCTCACCAAATTTATTCCAAGTTGTTTCCAAACCGTCTATAGTGCGTAAGAATGTGCGGAGATTCGAAAATCCCAATCTACGATACGGAATCGACTCTCCGACGAGATTTTGAAATTCATCTGTGCGTAAAAGCAATATTCTCTCGTACTTCAACTTGTAGCCTCGAACGCGACAGAGTGTCTTTCTTTTATAACGCGAGATATTTAAGCGAATATGCACACGAGAATCTAGTTGAATATAATATCGGACTACGGTAGTACTTGCCATTTAAATCCTCGATTGGTATGCCTCCTTTCTTCGAAATGATACACGATTTAATTAATGCCACTGTCTCGTCCATTTTCATGTTATAATTGATTATTAAAAATAACTATATACAATATATTATGCCGATAGCTCCATTTAAAACTCTATTACTCGCTGTAAAATTTCTGCAGTTCTACGCTGCTGTTGCCTCACGAATGTTTCACCGAAATGTTCGGTAGCGGTTGTTCGTGTCCGTGCTGTCGAACGGTAGGCCAAGCAATGAGGGTCATTTCGTCGCACGACGATACGATCTGCCCATTCGCATGTACCAGAAGAATTCTAGAAGATTCCGTCGATTCGTAAACACGATTCGTCTGAGTAATACGGTCTGTGTAGAAAAAATACTAACACGAGAGAGAATGTGTACGACGTGTTTGAATAGAGGCAGCGACGAACTGCTTAACGACAATAATACCATCGACTCGATTGTGCCTCGAGAATTTCGAATGTTTCATACGATAACTTTAGTACAACTAAATTTCATTGTTGCGAGCTGATCCTTGATTCTATGATGATGTTCTGTGTTAGAGATTGTAGGAGCGATTATACGCAAATAATATAATATAAATAATTTCGCAATTGCAAAAATTATTATGATATTTTATATACACGTATATAAGGGAATTGAAAATTTCTTTAAACTTTAGAAATCTTTAAAACAGGATGTAACATTATTTATTAAATAATAAGGCACACGTTGTGCTAACGGTAGCGATAACGATTCCACGAATGATTGATGGTGGGTAAATTAATTTAAGAAGAGATAATATGTGAAATTTTTGTATACGTGTGAGGGAAATTATATAATTTTAGCTACATTTGAAAGCGTAGATGTATGTAAAATTAATTAATTAAACATTCACGGATATCTGACGTTTGTACGTCGTAATATAAATAACTTTTACGTGCGCAGCTTTGCGTGATGTTAATAACACGTTTCCCAAGTAATATTCTAAGACCCAACTATGTCTGCCATTCAATAACGCTTAATATCATCTTCAGCGGAATATCTTAAATTTGCTTAGAGTTTGGAGCTTCAGCCACGAGATGGCCACAGTTGATTCAAAAGCGCGAGATAGAGAAGGAAATCGATTATATTTTTACATACAATTCTATCCAGGTCCGATACATATAACACGTAATAACGTAATATCGCGTAATAATTAGGTTTATAAACGAAATGTGAATGTAAAATTATAGCTTTTCATCGTTCAACTGTTTAGTAGCGCTCAAGCTGTTTAGTAGTCTCTTTGTGTATTCGGGTAAAATTATTGGAAAGGAGAAGAATAAAGATTGCGAGTCGTGGGATTAAAGAATGCTGAAACGACACGAACACGTCGCGCCGGGCGCTAGAATTAGAGTCTACTTTACGTGAGATCGTGCGAGATGCCGATATTTACAAAGACCACAGCACGCTCGACGAAGATCCAGAGGAGTTTTGACGGGTCAGTAACTCCGAAAATATTTATGTCGTCCCAAACTATTCTTACACCCGCGACATGGGTATTTTTGGCTAATGTTGGGTAACTCCCGTATACGTTTTATTGCCCTCCCCCCTAATTACGGCTATTCGTTGAGCTCTAAAAATATCGCCTCGAAAATCGCAAAAACTAACATCACCGACGTTGTTTCCGCGAATCTCTGGACGTTCAACGATCGCCTCTCCAGACTCTCTCTCTCTCTCTCTCTCTCTCTCTCTCTCTCTCTCTCTCTCTCTCTAAATTGATCGGATGTACCGAAACTGCTCTCGCTCATACACGAACCTACACAATTGTTTCATTTCATTCCATTTCAAAGCATTGTAACGTCGTTTGCTGATTATTCACTCGCTTACATTCGATGTATCCGTCGCTCCAACTAATTTCATCTTCTATTTCACTCTTACCCTGCTTCTTAGCTCTATATTTTCAAAGACTCCTCGAATCGACAATTTTCGTGCAAAAGAAACGTATGAAATAATTTGAGGGCAAGAGCAAAACAGGGAAGGAAGGTTCTAAATATGTCATCTGCATCTTCCGTACTTTAATAACACACGAGAATCCGAATCTGTAACATTATACAGTACAGGCGTTTATATTTCACGTTGCTCTCTCGCCGGCTCGATCTTCCACTTCCTCGAGCCGATACGTTCTCCAGTTCTTCGCGCTTGGAGGAAAGACTTCCGATACATGGCGTCACGTCAGATCATCTTCTGCGGCGATGCTGAAGTGCGCACTTGTTACCGAAGACGGCAAACGAAGGGACCCTCGAGATATCGGAGTTCCTGAGGAGGAGTCTAAAGGGCCGCGCGTTGCAGGGGTTCAACAGATGTTGTTACGACGAAGTTGAACGAGAACCTCGCGTGTCGTCGGAGACACGATATACGTACGTTAGCCCGACTATCTGCATACTCATATACAACGGTACAACGCGACGTGCATTATGTGCGATATCGGGCGACTCTGCTTCACCAAGTCGAACATATCGTATTATTTGCAAACGGTATATAACGGCGGCATATTAATCCTTCCGTTATCGTGATCACCGATGAATTGTATGGTCTCGGCAGAGCGCGTTTTCGCTCGAGTTATTGTGCGGTGTACTTGGGAAAGGAAGATCAGCTTCAATCACGCTTCATTTGCGGGAGCGAGAATGATGGTCCCAGAATTTTTCACGCTCCTATGCCTTTGTGTTCTCGATGAGTTAACGTTATCTAACGATATCTAGCGATACAGCAAAGTATTCACACTCTCAGCAGCCGAAAATTCTTCTACGAAGATTCTGTGAGAGAATCCGAAATTTATGGTCTCGCAGAGTAGATCTCTCCACGAGTTCTTCGAGTTCTTACCAAACGACTTCGCTGTGTATGCCTCACCGAAAAATATGTTTGAAAATATTTTTTAATCCCTTCTATTTCCGATTTATTCGTGTCATTTAATGATTTACATATCATCCAAAGTTCCTCCTCAAAAGTTTCGAGAATTCAACGTTCACAATTTCGTGAAATGGATTCCCGAGGATTTTTCAAACTCATAGAATTTTTCGCAATGTTTTAGTGCCGAGAGACAGCCTCGCTTAAAAATATGCAAAATTTTTTCACGTTCTCTTGTTCTTTTGTATTTTCATTAAACGTTATTTAACGATATGACGATATGATGTCACAATGCATTCACACATCTCCAAAGTTCTTTCTCAGAAATCACGAGAATTCCACATTCATAATTTCGCGAAATGGATTCTTACAAACTTTTCGAACTTATCAAATCCCTCGCCACGTTTCAGTGCCGAGAGTGCTCTCGCTTAAAAATGTATAACGCGTTGGAAAATTTCTCCCATTGAATGATATAAGTTATTAACGATATGACGATATGTAACAACAACAACAGTATTCATATACGAGTACTGTGCCGTGCTAAAACCGTTGTACTAAAACTCACCCTCAAGGATCCCGGGAATTCGAAATGCATACTTTCACGAAATGGATTTCCACAAGTTTCTTGAACTTATCAAATTCTTCACGGGGTTTCAGCGCCGAGAGTGCTGGGAAAGAGGCGGCAATAATAAGAGAAAGAGCCGAGGTCGCGCAAGCTGCACGGTCAGGATTTGCTGCAAAGGCGCAGAGGAACGCAGAGCGATGCTATTTCGCGGGATTAAATACGTAATTACGCGTTGACGCTGTTGTGCATTGTACGGGAAGCTGGCAATGGCGATTTACAACGAGCGGGACTCGGAGCTGAACACAAACCCGTTTTATCCGCGTGCGGGAGACAAGTCGGCCGCGCGCGACGGGTAAACACGTCGCTCGCGTTTCAATGCTTTACGAGGGAGAGCATCTGGAAAACGCTTTCTGACGTATTAAACGCACGGTAAAAGCTTCCGCGCGCGATTACTTGACCGGAGGGAAGACAGAGCGAGAGGAAGCGCTTTGAAATTCGACGCGGATCCGCCTCGGAAAATATATGCGCGTGGCAGGAACAGCCGTGCGAACAAACAGTCACAACCGGCCGGCCGAATCTGGACGTTGTACCGCTTGACAAGTGATCGAAGAGCTCCGGAGGAGGATGATTCCCAATTTGCTGGACCTCCGCTGCGCGACCGGCTGAACAAGAAGAGCGCAGCGGCGCCTCTGGGCACCTACGCGCGATTACAGGTGTTGGTGTGCGAGTCAAGCCGGTCGATTGGAAAAGCACGCGAGGAAAAAAGGAAAGGAGAGAAGGAATTGCTGAAATCTCTTTCGAGAGAGGATAAAGACGCACTGTAACACCTCGAGAAGTGCTTCCTACTTTTTCCTCTTGGTCTCTCTTTCGAGTCGGGCGACTCGAGTCGACTTCGGCAACCGCGTCTTCCGATGAGGAGCCGCGAAACTTCGAAGCTTCGCACTAATGATACTCACAAAGGCTTTCAAGTGAAGGGGCTGCGCGCCTGTGAGCTTAATCCTCGGGGAGGACACGGCGTTTAGGATGTTTTAGGAGCGTTGAGCGACGTCGACGGGCATCGGGTGACGATCCGACGCCGACAAAACACCGGCGATATATATATGGTATATATATATATATATATGAGGGCACTTACAGGATATGGGAAAAGCAGGGCGCGGAGAGGAATGAATCCCCATAAGAAGCTCGGATTCTAAATTTGCCGTTAATAGCGCGGCGTGACGGATGGGCGCAGATGCATTCGACGTGCCTCGAGGGACGTGCCCTGTTTTCGAAACGTGCCGATATTCCGGCGGAGTCGTGCGACGACACTGACAAGCTTTCGGATTTACTAGCCGGAGTATGTCCGGTCGATCCCTCTCCGCTCCAATTTCCCGTGCCGCTTTCACGGCTAGCCAGCGACGACGAGGTCCTTGGAGCGTCTCTCATAAATCGCCGGCAATTTCGGCTGTCTTTGGCGACACGGCCGACGGCGACCCGGTCAAAACAGCGTGTTAAACGATGAAAGGGTCGCAGGAGAATAACGACGACGCAAATGATCCCCAGCGGCAGATAGTAGCGAGGGTGTGACTCGTTTAAAAATGCGAATCTGGAGGTTTCTCACGCTCTCGTTCTTCTCTTTGTATTCCCAGGTGATTCCCAGGTGATAACATCGTTCAACGATATGACGAGATATATCGTAAATCGCATTCGCTTCTCAGGATATTTTTCGTCCTCAGAGACTCAAAAAAGTTCATCATTTCGCAAAATGGATTTCCTCCAGTTTGTCTGGCTTAAATTTTTTGCTCTGTTTCATTAGCGAGAGAGCCTCGCTTAGAAGCTCGCTCAGCGCGTCGAAAAATTTCCCACGCTCTTTTACTTTGTTGTACATTCAGGAAATTAACGTCATTTAACGATATTGCGAAATGTTGCTGAAGTATTCATTCTCCGAGACTCTTGGCCCAAGATCCGAAGAATTCGAAATTTATCAATTTTGTATGAGAGTTTTTCCACGAATTTTTCTCGAAGATGGTCCATCTGATTTTTGCGGTGTTTTAGTGCTGCGAAGGGTTGCCGAAAAGGACACAACGATAGATGTAAGTCCCGAGGAAGGGCTGAGGTCGCAAGTTGCGCGGCCTGCGCGGGGCTTCATCCTACGGCTCATGCGATTGATCCTTACGTTATTACGAATCACTCGCTTTTTATCGCTCGTAGCGCTCGCTCGTGAACGTTACCGGAGTTGTGATCGAGGAGACGGGAAGGATCGCGATTTCGTTCACGTGTAATATTCGTTCGCGCGAGCAAACGTAGCGCCTCGGGCTCGTAATGTCTCGTGCGATCGAGAATCTGGTCGCTGTAACGATCTAATACGATTTACGGTAAATCGCCGTCGTGACTCGCACGGCACATTGTGTACATTGGCTAAGAGACTGGGTTTTTACGACACCCGAGGCACTCGAGATTTCCGTTTAAGGGAGTTTTCCGGTGTGACCGTTGAAAAAAATCGACTTCTTTTTCATATTCTTATAGTTTGAGATCTTGAAAATATGTCCATAAAATATTAAGATAAAATTTCTGAAATTGACTGAGTTATAAAGGTTTAAAAGACACAGCGCGTCGCCCGGGATTAAAGTGCGGCGGACGATGAGGTGTCAAATGTCGTCAGACCGATTTATAAAGAATTAACAGCAGACGATTTATCGAAGTGATGCCTTGGATTTTTCACCAACAAAATAACAACGAAAGTACAAATTCAATAATCTGGACAATTTGTCTGAAATATTTGCACTGTGGCAAAAAGACTATAGGCATTGCAACATTCTTGGCCATTTGCATTTTTAAAGGAGGGTTTTACAGAGAGAGAATTATGGATGTGATGGAACTAAAAATCGGTCACAATGCAAACATCTACGCAGATACTAGAGACAACGAGCGCATCAAACGTTCTGAAGAGCGGGCGTCTTACGAACCCAAAGAGGCAAGGATTGCCAGAAGAGAAGAAGCAGCTGCTCAACATAACTTTTCCAAAGTTGAGGAAGACATTCTTTACGGTTATGGTAGGAGTAAGTTACTGAAATTACTCATTATCCACCTCGAAACTGTATGAGAAACTTTAAACGCATTTTTCTCGAAACGATATTTTTCAATATGGGCGTGTATTTTTCTCACAGACTACTGGACCGATCGACTTACTTATTTTGCACACATATAGTGTACATATGAGGCTATCGTTCGAACCTCCAACTTTGTGATCCGTTTAAAATTACTATTTCTCCGGACCGCGATAAGTGAAAATTTTTTAGTAAAGATCAGAGTACTCTCTTTCAAGCGGCGCCATTTTGTCATTTTTTCTTCCTATTATTTATTGGAAGTTCAAACGATATATATATATATAACTACATTCGTAAAGAATAAAATGAAACAAGTTTCGTTTATTTCAGATGACGAGGACGGCGCGCGGCAATCACCACGCCCGATGGGAGAGAAATTTTGTGACATGGCCTGTGCGTCATCCTATATCTTGCACAGTTTGCATTAAAAAGCTTTTAAAAAATTTGATATATTATATCAAATATAAATAAATACGAATACGAAACCTTAGATCTGTAGGTTTAACCAGTTTTGTAAATTTAATTCCCAAAAATCACCTTGAAAACGGGTATTCACACCGGAAAACCTCCTTAAGTAGGAATTCAGAGGAAGTGACACTTGGAGTGGAAACGCAACGACGCGGCAGCTGACACTTTTACGTCCATTTTCCTCGGATGGCAGAGTCGAAGTGGTATCGCGTCATAAAAATGTAGGCACAGCGGTATCGACGATCTCTCCGCGGCGCCTCTCAAAACGTATCTTCACCGTTACGCGTGTGCGCAAATTCGGCTGTATGTAAATCTCGTGACACAGCGTTATAAAAATATAAAAATTTATATATAAAAATTAGCGCTGTAAAAAATCGCCGTCTCCGGCGCAGACTTGTGATGTCGAGCCCGGGAATATAAAACGACGATGGTCGATTGAATTCATTGAGAAAAAGCTGCATGTACGTGGTACAAAAGTTGTTCCGGGCGAATAAAAATTTCGAGCGCTCTCCACGATATGTTCGCATGTGCAGATTGTGGCTCTTTCATGCATCTTCTCTTCTCCTCTTCGTAACCGGAGAGCCGCAAAAATTTGACAGATGGAGGTGACCGAGGAATCAGCGTTTAGATGTTCGGACACGCGTTAAATGCTCGCGAACGCGCCGATACGTCATCAATCATGTACGATGAGTACGTAACCGCTAAGACGTAGCGTTAAAATATGTGGTCCTTAATAGCGCGGTGACGGTTAGCCGGCTGATTAATTATCCGCTGTCTGATAAATGACTCTCGGCCGCTATCTGACGGGCGCTTGTTAAAGGGAATGCGAAGAAGCGCTCGCCGAAGATTCGCCGCGAGACCGACGAATACGAAGACCTCGGAAACGAAGGAACCGAAAGGGACGTGGACGTGCACACGGAGTGCTCACTCTTCTGTTACTCCTCACTTTATTGTTTCATCATTCCACATATTTACATCATCGCGGTGTCAACAAAGCTCGCTGACACACTAATGTGGCCGCTCGCTCGCTCACTCGCTCGCTCGCTCACTCGTAGGCGCATAAAAAGTCTGGCGATTTGTTCTTGTGGGAGTCGTTAAGCGAGAGACGCAGACGTCTCTCGTAAAACTTTTGAAAGGCAATCATTCGCCACGTCGAAAACTGGACTCGTGATTTCGGGCTTGGAAATGCAAAACGATGTAAACGTGGCGCGACGGTGGCCTCGAATAATTAAGAAAAAGTTCTATACAAAAGAGAGAGAGAAAAAGAGAGAGAGAGAGAGTGTGTGTTTGTGTGTGTGTGTGTGTGTGTGTGTGTGTGTGCGTGCGCGTTGCAATTACAATGGTGAAAATACTGAAAGAAAGGAATACGCGCTATATCACACTGAAAATAAATTAAAGATTAAAGCGTGACCGATGATACTTTTGGCGCTTGCGTCGTTTCGCATGTCGCATTTACCACGATTGACTATTGACAAAAGCAGAAGTATAAAGATTAATCTTCCTTAGAAATCCACATCAAATAGATGAATACCTTCGAACATTGCGGTTTATTTAAATACATAATTTTTCAATGACGATAGAATCACGAGGTTTCTAGTTATACTCGAGAGAAAAGATGGAAACATTCTCCTGATGGTGTCTCGATCTTAATAATAATTGATAATAATTCCTGATTAATAATTAAAAAATTTTCATTACCTTCTAATGCAAAAATTTCATTCAAAAGCGATTTAACTTCTTGGACTTGGACACTTAAAAAGCGATAATTGTAGAATCGCTGACGGATAATAACTTCCTGCCAAACTTTTACAACGGCGAAATCGATTTTTGAAATTTGTTTAAAAATACAATCTCCTGCCGCGGATTTTCACGTTCCCTCACCTGCTCCGCGTGGTACCTACTTATATCTTAAGTGCTCAATATCTGTGCTCCGCTCGCACAGGTTAAAATTATCTCTAAAAATATTCTCCTTTGGTATAGATAAAATATTTCACTATTTTATGGCGCTTCCAATATCTCGCATAGATCTGTCGACAACGATCGGACAAACTTATCTGCATAACTCCGTCGAATATTCCGCGCTTGTTAATCCTCGCGACATCCGTAATCCTCGCTTCGATGAAAATTTGCGCGAATATGTCCGGCATACCGGCCGGTGAGAATATACACGGAGTTTCAGAAAGGAAGAGAGAGAGAGAGAGAGAGAGAGAGAGAGAGAGAGAGAGAGAGAGAGAGAGAGAGAGGTAGTATGCGTCTCTTTTCAGACTAGAAGCTCTTCAGATTCACAGTCGACTTTTCCTCATTTTCTTGAAAACAATCGTCGTTTGTCGCCATAAAAATAAATCAAACTGGAGGAAAATCTTTGTCGGAGAAGAAATACCTCGGTGTAGAGACTAATAAGAAAACGATGTTCCGTTTCGAAATCGATTTTTACTCACCCTCCTGAGACTCGATTCGCCCTAAGGCTTTGAATCATAAATTTCAGACATAATATTCGCGTAATTATCGACTTAGCGACTTCGAATGGCGGTCGTTTACCCCGAGAGTCGCGGATCGATAAAAGTACACTTTCGACAATTCCTGAAGCGCTCTGTGTGTAACGCGGCGGGGCTATTCTGCGCGAGAATAGCCGAGTCTTTGGCTGTATTTATGCATTCACTCGAGAGATGCACCGTGAGCGTCGCGTCGTGAGTCGCCGTCGTGAGAATCAAAGGGGAACAGAAGAGGCCGTCCCGACAGAGAATTAAATATCGGTACCGTGCAGACTTCAATGATGCGTGGAGTAATGAGCGTCAGGGGGCGGTTGGAGGGGCCCGTTGATGCTCTGCACGATCATGTTGAGACAATCCAAGCTGCTGCCGTTGCTTTGCGCGGACAACGTCTCGGCCTGCTCGAAACCTGAAACACCGAGAATACAAGCGTGAGAGATGAGCGGAGAGGAGGGGGAGCAAGCGAGCAGCGGCAACAAAATATCGCGAGTCGCCGGAATCAGATTTCATGTTCGCAATGCGGCTTAACGCAGCGAGATCGGCACGATTCCAGAGCAAACTGCGAGCACGAGGGCGAAGCGCGAAGTACAAACTGCGTTTAAACGTACTTTAGACGCTCTTTCGTCCGTCGCCTTCGCCGTCGCCGTGTGTATCCAGATACGGATGAATTGCGAGCCCGACTCCCAAACGGGAGGAGAGAGCCGGCGCTTTCTCTCTCTCTCTCTCTCTCCCTTCCCCCCTCTCTCTCTCTCTCTCTCTCTCCCCCCTCCATCCTCTCCCTTCCCCCCTCTCTCTCTCTCTCTTCTTTTTCTCCGTTTTTCCTTGTCCTTCGCTCGCGGAGAAAGCATTTGCATAAGTTATGTACTGCGACTTAAGGGCTTTGAAGCCGTTATTCTTGGCACCGACCGAACACGCGCGTCTCCGTCTTTCCGTCTTAAACTCGACTCCGAGTATTTTTCGCCCACCTTCGTGGAAGCTACGCACCGTCCCTCGTGAAAGCCGATGTTACGCTTTCGGATAATCGGATAATTATATACGTGTATCTGGAGGGAAGTACCCTCCGCCTCTTACAAAGAAAAAGAAACAAAAAGAATCTCTGAAAGAAACAACAACGCGCCCCCAGCGATTGTTTGCACTCGTCCGCGTGAGAAAAGAAAGGAGGTACCGTCGCGAGACAACATCGCGATACGTCCATCGACTTGCCATTAAGCTCTTTCTCATTTTCGCGCGCACAATGACAATATATACTTGTAGTATGCAGTATATAATGTACAATAGTATTACACAAGTACAGTGGTGCACTTACATTATGGTACACAGAACGAATAAATCGCGAAGGAGGTTTCGACAGTGCAGTTTCTTTGCGCGATGAAACCTGCTGGTTATCGTTGATAGGAAATAATGCAAATCAAGTGTGTAAAAAGTTGCGCGCGATAAGTACCGGTCTCGTTAATGTGATTGAATTTTTTGTTGCTCGCAAAAAGAATAAGGAGACTGAATGGAAAATTCGATTTTAGAGGCAGATTCGTGTAGGAGATTTCTAGTCAGTCAATTATTACTGTCATCACGATCGGTCTGTAATATGGTCTGTAATACGAATGTTCAAACGATTCTTCTCAATCGCTGTAACAGAGATACAGAAAACCTCAATAACGCCCTCCCCACTTCGGCCGGAGCGTGTCATATTTACACATTTCTGTATCATCGATATTTCGGCCCTATTTTCGATCTGACCTATCTAGCATCTATATAGCTAGCTGATGGATCAATGGAAATTTAATTTATGTATAGAATTATATATAATTTAATTCATCTAGAAGCTACCCTCTCAGCTCGGCGTCTCTAAATGGCGGAAAGGCACAGTTTGCCATTTGCAAGGTTCTTAAAAGAGCTTCTCGCAAAGCCGTAGATTAATTACAATCAAAAGAAGCTGCGAAGTATTGAATTTACGTTAAATGGAGCATTGAAGTCGAAAGTAAGATTAAAATTTCAATTCAAGTCGCTTTTGAAAAGAATCGCTTACTCAGTCACATTATCGTTACATTTCACATGATTGAGTCGCCGATTCTTCTCATAAGCAATCATCATGGTGCAAAAAGATGAAAATACCCCAACGAGCAGTGAGAAAGGCATTATTGGAGTCCTCTCGGTATCATTCTTCATCATTGAATTCTCGCCTGGTGCCTATTCGGTTACACGTGCTCGCGACCTGAGATCTTTTTTTCCGTATATATATCCGGACGCAATATATTTAACGGTGCTCCGACGTAACGACTCGAGTGTAGCGAGTCGACGTGGGATCTCGCGGCGAATTATCGGGCGCGTCGATGACTAATTAGCCACCCACATCCACCAGGGTCTACGGACGTGTCGCTGGCACGAAAATACGGATGAAGATATACCCGCGGCGCGCGTAATCGAGAGAGCGAGCGGTACGAAACTAATAATATTAGTTGGAACGACGAATGCCGCCGACACGCGCCGATGAACGCGAAACGAAAACAGGTAAGTCCGACCCACTCCCCCTTTCTCTCTCTCTCTCTCTCTCTCTCTCTCTCTCTCTCTCTCTCTCTCTTAGCACTTCTCGCTCGTCCTTTATACGAAGCAGCGTCCTTTTGAACGAGCGCAGAACCATCGCGGTTGTGAAAACTGCGAAGTTCTAGCGCCACAGTCGACAGGTTTGTTTAACGAAACTCCTGAGATCGATAATCTCCGTAAGTAACAAACGATCAGGAACAGCGACGGCGGCCTCTCAGACCGAGACAATCGTTTCCGCGAGGAAAATCGGCAACGAAACTTTCTCATTTCTCTCTCGTATTTCAAGTGGATATCGTTTTAACAATATTTTAATTGGAATTTCATTGGAAGCTTAGTTACTAAGACACCGAACATCAGGAATTATATATAGACTTATGAGAACGGCCGGAATCTTTAATCAGACTCCGGCTAAAGAGAAAAACCAATTCCGCAAGAACCAGGCGTGAATAAAGTTTCGAGAAGCCGCTCGCTCGCTTCTCGCGCGTATGATCCGCGCGATAAATTATGCACAGATGCACGGCTGATTCTTCATAAATGACGTAAAAATCGCCATTATTACATTATTTAATTATATACAACATGTACAAATGTAGCTACATATACAACAGCTACAAATGTAGGTAATATTTATTTTTATTACATTGTAATAAAGATATGTTATCTCCTGGTTGTGCTTATTTTTTGCGCTTATTGTCGCTTAATCGAACGATTTCAACGGATGACTCTTATCGCGGAGGTTTTGCGTTTCGATGGCAAGAGGAGATTAAATACTATAAAATATATAACGTCAATATTTGTTCCGAGTTGATTGATACACAAAAACATGTTACACTCTTTGCACACGTTAAGTCAGCGTGATCGTCGTAAGTTAAATCATCGTAAAGCTGAATCATTGTTAAATCGCCGTAAGGATCGTCTTGAGTGATGAAAGCAACCTCGAGGCTCGAGAATAACCGATACTTTTTACTTCTTTTGCTTAAAAAAAAAAAAATATGCAGCTTGAATTTTTGTATTCGTGATACATCGAGCTCTGTCGATACGACCAACCAGAAAACTCGCTGGTTTTTAACTGGTTTTTAAACTTTTGGATCTAACGAAGTTTGTAACTACATTGTGGTTCCCGGGAGATGCAATTTCGACGGATGCGGATGCTGCGCCGGAGGATTCGATTTGAGCTCGACTCGAAGGTAAGTTTACAGATTTTGTCATTTCGACCGTTTCGATCGAAGACTAGAACACGATAATCGAAGTAAAAATCGTTAAGTTACGACGATTGCGAAAGGTCAACGTGTTTGTGTCCACGAGCATTCTTCTCGTTATTAAGACGAAAACATTGTATTTCACTCTATATATATATATTTGGTAATATACATTATATGTTTTACTTCAGATTGTGTAAACACTGCAAAACGTAACCGATTTTGACTTCTTGGTTTTCGGAGAGTTCGAAACAACGATAAGATTGTTATCGATAACATAATTATGGTAGTACTTATCACAAAAATATCACGATTGCTAATTTTCCAAATTTTCCAAATTTTCCATTCACGATACATTATAATGTTGTTAATTTGGCTGAAATGAGAATTAGAAATTGTAGGATCGGAACTTGGAATTCTCGCGAAACAAGTCTTTTCTTTTGACAGAGCATACAAATCCGCGAAAGGATATGAGCCTTTTTCTCCTAGTCGAAAGCATGATGTTCGATTGTTTACACATGATTCACGACTCACGGCTATATTCTCAAAGCACCGGAGTCATACACTTTCCGTGAAATCGCCAAGGGTGAACTTGAAACGATCACTGTCGCAAGCGTAGTGCAGTGCGTAGTGAGGTGCGATCGATGCGGGACGACGGATAAAACATTACTGGATGTGTGAGGGCTTGGACGAAGAGAGCTGGATGTCGCTGAAAATCAGCGCAAAATAGTGAACGTACGATATCACGAGGCTCACGGAGCGTCGTATTACGTAGTGCTTGCAGAGCGTTCAGACGTAAATCACATTGATAGCCGACGAGTTAAAAATTACCGTGCGGGTAGGTGTTTCCGTGGCACAAGATTGCTTATAAAAAGACTGGAGGATCAATGTAGCGCGCTGGTGCGCCCGCGTTTGTAGTGTCTAGTAAAATTAAAAGGAGCGAAGCGGCCATAAATATTCATAGCTGCTAAGATGTTGAGATAATGAAAATGCTAAGAGGATTTTACGTAGGCCGCGCTTAGTGCCTGATGATATGGAAATAGTGAAAATCGTCAAGCAACACAACGATTATATAGCGGCGGTGAAATCTCGCTGATGAAGCAAATCCGGCCGATGGAAGTTAACGTGATTAGCGTGAGCTAGGCAAGAGGAACGGAGGAAGAGCCAAGGGGAATTTACTTTTCAACTGTGAGTTGTCGCTAGATCGCGCATGTTCGCTAGACAGCGAACGAGGGCGAAAGAAAAGGCTGCTGTCGCAATTCGGCGGGCCAGACGAGAGTTTCGCTTTTATGCGCGGAAATAAGCGCGCGCGAGTAACCGCAGACAGCATCGATCACGATCGAAGCGATTGTTTGGCAAGAGCCGGCTATTTATTTATAAATCACCCCCCGCGGGACGCGGGTATGATATACCCCGCGTCCCGCGGATCATACTTCCGCGGATGATATACCGCCGAGGTTGCTTGCCAGATGCGTTCGGTGTACCGCGCAATCACGACATCGAATAGTTTTCGACGGTGGCGTAAATTATTTATACAGAGCCGAGCCGACGAGCCGCGCCACACCGCGGTGTAATTCTCGGCACGTGTGCACGCGTCCGCCGGATGGACACTCTCCTTCCGGTATTTATTAACATTCGCTAATAAGGGATGCAACGTGTTGTAATCGCCGAG